CCTTAGAAAGGTTAGTCCAATGGGAGCCAAATCGTGGAGTCTGGGCTTCATTAAGGAGCTTGACCTTAATCTGACAAGTTAAGTTTCAAACAGGACTCAACCAAACCCCTTCGGCGTTAACTGAGTAGTGAGACAGAAGGCCAACCATGCATCCTGGCTTCAGTTCTGCCACATGTATTAACTGGACACCACAGCTTCCCTTGTTTCCATCACCTCGACAATAATTGCCTAAACAGATGTGTTGGGCACTTAGTAATAGCATGTGCTTCAAATACAGAAGCAGAGGAGGGTATCTTTTGGCTTGGGAAACAGGAAGGTTGAACAGTTTAAGCAAACCTTGATCTGAACCCAAATCCTACAATGAAACGTTCAGTTACTATTTCTGCATGACCTCCTTTTTATGATTTAGTCCACACCTCGCCTGTTCAACATAGGTAGGGGCAAGAAGTAGGACTAGGATTCCAATCCAGACAGTCCGGCTCCAATATAATTCTCTCAATCCCTGAGGTACAGTGTCTCCTTAAATGGGTATTAGGTACATCATTCCATCATTAACTACATTCCCAGTGCTGTGCAACCTCCACCACTAGGGGACAGTCTTTAAAAAGTCAAGTCTTTCATCCCTACCATTAGAGAAGGATGTCCGCACCTGGACAGTCTAGTTCCCAGCCACTCCACCCCCCACCCCACCCCTACTACGTGGCTGTAAAAGAAGTTAATGCAGCATCCTAATTATCTCATTTACTTCTAAGTCTCAATTCTAATTGACTTCAACCATCTCACACCACCTGTTTGTCGGTGTGTGGTACTGTGGTGACTTGCTTGTTGCTATGATACTGAAAGCTATGCCACCGGTATTTCAAATAACAGCAGTCACCCATTGTAGAAAGGTTTGAGACTAGGAAGAATGGTTTAGTGATCTACTTCTGAAATTAAGACAATGAAAACCCTATGGATCACAATCAAATCGTGTCTGATGTCTTGGAAAATGAGCTGCCTAAAGGCGGCAACAATGGGCTCAAGCATACCAAGGGTGGTGAAGATGGTGCACGCTTGGGGAACAGTTTTTTTGTTGTACATGGGTTGCCACGAGTCGAAGCTGTTTCAACACAACGAACAAGAACAACAGCAGTGGCAACAACAGCTTTATCTTGTCCAGGACACTGTAACTAAATACTGTTTTTCAGCCACTAAGAAACCCCAAATGATCCTCAATTTACATATTTAATTTGGAGTAAGGGAATTCTCCATATAAATAACTAAAACAAAGTTTACAATGTGTGTGGAAGAGGCATTGTAAAGGAGAGTTACATATTAGATCATTTTTGCTAAAGCAAGAAAGATGCATTTAAGGGGTGTGTGATTTGGATAACTACAAGCTCATCATAACAAAGATGGAAAATTAAAAGAATCTGAACAGAAACACCGTAATAAGCATTGAATGAGCCTCAGGGTGGCTTAGTGTTATGCATTGAGCTGCTAAGTCAGCAATTCGAAACCACCTGCGGCTCTGTGGGGTGTGGGGGAGGTGGGTGGTGGGTGGAGATGAGGCATTCTCCTGTCAAGAGTGGCAGTCCTAGAAACCCACGGGGACAGTTCTACTCCGTCTAAGAGGGTCGCCACGAGTCAGAATTGACTAGATGGCAGTGAGTTTGAGTTTTTACAGAGGACAAAGGAAAAGAACAAGTAAAAAGTAAAAGAGGCATAACTTGGATATTAGGGTGATAATTTTCATTTTTCTTCTAGAACTATTGTCCTGCTCTGTGCCCTGCTCAGTCGAAGGAGGTTGAATTCTAGGGTCTGTGTCCCACAGGTGCCCTCATTTCACTCTACGGGCTGGGTTCTGCCAATAGGAGGCACCCCTAAGAGATTGGAAGGTAAGGAAAGAAAATATTAAGGAATTCTTTCCTGTGTCTACAGATCCACTTCCATGTAGGCGATGGCTATAATTCTTTTGAGGTTCTGGTGGTACATTTTTATTTTCCTTCAGGACTGGGGTGGTAATAGCTTCCAACTGGTGCCGAATTAAATCCTTACCTTCCCTCATCCCTGTACATAGTGGCTTTGCTAAACTCTCTTGAAGCAAGCCCATTGAGTTTGCCTTTTTGTCCCTTCTGGGACCCTGATGAAGTGACTGGATGGATGGCAATGAGTTTTTCTGGTGAGTGGACAGCTCTCTAAAGGTTTCTGACCTTTTCTGAATGCTTTTTTCGGGGGTGCTGCGTTCAGATATTCACTATGAAAGTGTTCAATGCCAGTGACAAAAATGCCTTCTTACCTGGAGGACTTGTACAGCCGAGACAAGAAACTGCAGCAAGAGTTAGAGTTCTTGGAGGTGCAGGAGGAGTACATCAAAGACGAACAGAAGAACCTGAAGAAGGAATTCCTCCAGGCCCCGGAGGAGGTGAAACGGATCCAGAGTATCCCCCTGGTCATTGGACAGTTTCTGGAGGCTGTGGATCAGAATACGGCCATTGTGGGCTCCACCACAGGCTCCAACGTGCGCATCCTGAGCACTATCGACGGAGAGTTGCTCAAGCCCAACGCCTCGGTGGCCCTCCACTAGCACAGTGATGCTCAAGGCCGACAGCATCATCATGATGCTCACCTCAGACCAGAAGCCAGGCGTGATGTGCACCGACATCTGAGGCATGGACCTCCAGAAACAGGTGATGCGAGAAGCCGGAGAGCTCCCTCTCACCCACTTTGAGCTGTACAAGCAGATCAGCATCGACCCTCCTCGCGGCGTCCTCACGTATGGCCCACCCACTGCGTAAGACCATGCTGGCAAAGACTGTGGCGCATCACACGACACCTGCATTTACCCGGGTCGTGGGCTCCGAGTTTGTACAGAAGTACCTGGGTGAGGGCCCCCGCATGGTCCGAGATGTGTTCCCCCTGGCCAAGGAGAACGCGCCCGCCATCATCTTCATAGACGAGATAGATGCCATTGCCACCAATAGATTCGATGCCCAGACGGGGTCTGACAGAGAGGTGCAGAGAATCCTGCTAGAACTGCTAAATCAAATGGATGGATTTGACCAGAACGTTAACGTCAAGGTGATCATGGCTACGAACAGAGCAGACACCCAGGATCCTGCCTTGCTGCGGCCGGGGCGCCTGGACCGTAAAATTGAATTTCCTCTCCCTGATTGCCGCCAGAAGCGACTGATTTTCTCCACCATCACCAGCAAGATGAGTCTGTCCGAGGAGGTTGACCTGGAAGATTATGTGGCCCGGCCAGATAAGATTTCTGGAGCGGATCTCAACTCCATCCGTCAGGAGAGTGGAATGTTGGCCATGAGAGAGAACCGCTACATTGTTCTGCCCAGGGACTTCGAGAAAGCCTACAAGACCGTCATCAAGAAGGACGAACAGGAGCATGAGTTTTACAAGTGACCCCTCCCCATGTTTCCCCCTCTGATCTCCCCAGGGACCTGTGTTTTCTCTATTCAAGGTTTAGTCAATAAATAAACTAGATGGGGGGGGGGGAGGAAAATGCCTTCTTTCAGCTGTCATTCCTATGCCACGTTCCGTTTATAAGTGACTGTTTATTTCTTAGGTCTCACATCTGAAAACTCTACATAATATTATGGCCGTAATAATGATAACACACCAAAAAGCAAAGTAAACCCTAATCTTATTTCTAAGAGAACGAAAGAGTCCAGGAACGTGGGTGTGAACCTAAGCCACAACTGGTTGGTGTGACCTTAGTCAGGTGGTCTCTCAGGGTGTCCCCTCCGAATTTAATCTGTACATGAGGTTGGTCCTAAGGGTTGTGTGAGATCTGTTCATTTATTTTTTTGAGGTAGATTTACAATAATGCCCACGAAAACCTTTCCTCTACACCATCTAACATACTTTCAATGCATCTCACTTCTTTATGGATTTTGAGGTCTGGTGTATCAGGATGCAAATTCTTTTTTCTTAAATCATTTTATTAGGGGCTCATACAACTCTTATCACAATCCATACACACATCAATTGTGTAAAGCGCATTTGTACATCATTCTCAAAACATTTTCTCTCCACTTAAACCCCCGACATTAGGTCCTCATTTTTCCTCTCCCTCCCCGCTCTCCCCTCCCTCATGAGCCCTTGATAGTTTATAAATTGGTATTTTGTCATATCTTGCCCTGTCCGACGTCTCCCTTCACCCACTTTTCTGTTGTCCGTCCCCCAGGGAGGAGGTCAATCGGTTCCCTCTTTCCTACCCACTCTCCCTCTACCCTCCCTGTTTCGCCACTCACACCACTGGTCCTGTAGGGCTCATCCGCCCTGGATTCCCTGTATTTTCAGTTCTTATCTGTACCAGTGTACATCCTCTGGTCTAGCCAGACTTGCAAGGTCGAATTCGAGTCATGGTAGTGGGATTGGGGAGGAAACATTTAGGAACTAGAGGAAAGTTGTATTTTTCATTGTTGTTACATCCCACCCTGACAGGCTCATCTCCTCCCTGAGACCCCTCTGCAAGGGGATCTCCAGTGGCCTACTGATGGGCTTTGGGTCTCCACTCCGCACTCCCCCCATCATTCACTATGGTAAGATTTAGGATGCAAATTCTTTAAGCCTCACAACTGCCGGAAAAGCTTTCCTCCGACTCCCCACATCAGTTACAGGCGACTGCAGCGTCTCGCTGCCCGGGTCTGCACAGTGGGGCCTTACAGCCGAAGCCACACACCCTGGACACCAGACAATCCCTTCCGACCACCAGGGATCGAGGCCTTTCGTTTCACGTGAGCAAAAAGACGGAGAGCGAGAACGTTACAGACAGATTAAAGCTTCCTCGCTCCCCACCCCCTTGTGCGCACGCGCACAGGTCCCGCTCCTTGGGAGGAGGCGGGCCCGGCGTGCTGACGTGCGCGCGCACGTACGTATTGCGTGCGCGGCGGCCGGCGTCTGTAGTTGCGCGGCTGTGCTGTGCGGGGCGGGGCGGCCACCTGGTAGGGAAGGTGGAGCCTTGCGCTGCGCGGAGGCGGGCGCCCTGCTCCGCTCCGAGGCCTAGCTTTGTTGCGCTGGCTCCTAGGTTTCGGTGGCCGTACTCCGTGGAGCCCTCAGGGGACGGCTCCAGTGGCACCTGCCTAAAGCGTTTTCCCTTCCGTTCCACCCGCGCAGGCTCAGCGTGGCCACTGCCATGCCGAACGCGCGGCCCAGGCCTCGCCCGGGCGCCGCGGGTGGCGCCGGAGCTGCGGGCCGGCACGAGCTGGTGTCGCGGTCCCTGCAGAGCGCAGAGCACTGCCTGGGCGCCCAGGACTTCGGCACCGCCTATGCTCACTACCTGCTCGTGCTCAGCCTGGCGCCCGAGCTCAAAGACGACCTGAAGGTGAGGTCACTGGTTGACAGATCCTCCAGTCTTTTCCTGGGAAGGGGAAAAAGGAGGTTTTGTTGTTGTTTCTTTTCCCCAAAGGGTGGGGGAGAAGGAGGCCTGGGTGCTAGAGTTCGTGGCTGGAGGGGCCTATTGTTGCCATTCCCCCCTTGACTTGTGAGTACGGAAATCCTTTCCGCCTCACCTTTGAAATATACGAGTATGTAGACTTTTAACAACTCTCACCACCTGGGTTGCACACCGCAGTCATCTCTTGCAATAGGCTCCCAACTGGACTTTGCTGTGGTCTTTTTCAATGCATCCGGCGTGAACCTTCTATCCTCAAAGTCGAAGGTTGCAACTGCATTTCAAAGCTCGCATCTCACTCCAAAAACCAAGGTTCTTTGTGTCGCACGGGAGCACGGGAGACCGCTGTTCGTCCCACCCCCCAGCAGCCCGTCCAAACTCACGCCTGCCTCCCTGTGCACACGCCTATGATGGATTTAGAAGGAATGTGGTGGGTTTGTGTAATTGAATCAAGTTTGCAGTTTAGTTCAAAGTACCAATCATTCCAAGGTGCAGCCTTTCAGCTTCAGCGATCCGGTTGTTTGCGACATACTCAGGATGGAGAGAGTTGCCAGCTGAGAATGCTTGAGTCAAACTGTTTCATCTCTACATATTATTGCCAAATAAGTGGTAGCGTTCATTCACACATTTGTTTACACAGCAAACAGTGCTTATGAAAAGCTAAATAAAATTTAAGGCAGTCGATTATTCAGTATCGGTAAGTAGAAAATTGAACCAGCTTTGTAAATTGTTCCCTCTTTTATGTTACTGATGAATGCTCAGGTTTTGTTTTTCTTTTTTATAAAGGAAACTTTTCAGTATACGCTCTTCAAATGGGCTGAGGAGCTTTATGCCCTCAGTCGCATACAAGACTTACTTGGTTGCTACGAGCAGGCCTTGGAGCTGTTGCCTGATGATGAAGTGATTTGCAATAGTATGGGAGAACATCTCTTCAGGTTTGAATGATTTCAGTATTGCTTGTTCAGAATTATCAGGAACAAATCATATAGTCATTTGGGGACATTTTAACATAAAAAAAACTAAGTACCACCAAAGGTTGGAGAAATGAGAGGTTACCTAGTAAGTAAAAAGATTTTAAAATAGGACTATCAAATATGTTATGGCTTAGCAGTTTTGTTATACAATATACTGTAGCAGCCATTGCCCTTAGGGCTGAGAGGAAGCATCCAATGAAGAGCCTCCACTACAGGGCTGAGCTGTGTTTTATAGGATGGCAGAGAAATGTGCCCTCTGGGTACAACGGAGAACTACACCAGGAGGTGGCTCACTGGAGGGAGTCCAGTACAAAACTGCCCAGTTGGGTAGTGCTGGGGAAAGCTGCTGGCCACGAATATTGCTGGTACCTGGTCCTGGAGCAGTCCTGAGCACCCTTGAACCAGGAAGCCAGCTCTATTTTCCTGCCACTCCTCTCTAGCACTTTCTGTTGACAGTGATTAGTACTGTGCCACCTGGTGAGGAAAATATATGAGAGCAAGCAAAAGAAGGAATTTGACAATCATAGTTTAAGCTGTTATGCTGGGTTTCCTCAAGATCATCCCTAGTTTGGATAACTTGTCCACAAGGTTCATCAGTGTAGCCCTATTTAGGACTATGGATGATTACAGTGAAAGGACAGCACAAGATCAGCAAACGGAAAAGACACACAGGGCAGGCAAAGTGTGGAGGAAGCCAGGTCCAAGTTTCTGTAGGTCTTCTAGTGGACTTAATAAAGTGAAAATCTAAAACTAATCCTGCACTGCTGAGTCCGTTCCAACTCAGCCAACTCAGTCAGCCTATGGGACAGAGTAGAAGTGCCCCACAGGGTTCCCAAGGCTGGTAAATCTTTATGCAAGCAGACCCCTGCATCTCTCCTGTGGAGCCACTGATGGGTCCAAACTGCTCACCTTTTGGTTAAAGCCAAGCACTTTAATCACTATGCCATCAAGAAATAATATAAACATAACATATATAAATGTCAGTTTTTAATTTAAACTTTAAAACTCCTTTGATGTGACCATTGCCTTTTTTAAAAACTTGGGCTTTCAGTGAAAGTTTACTTAACAGATTAGGTTTTCATTTAACAGTTCTCTATGTAACTTGCTCAATGACACTGATTAATTTTTTTAATCCAAAAGAAAGCCACACATAATAAAAAAATGGAACAAATTAGGAATAGATTAAAAGGAAAAAATAAATGATAATGTGTTAAATTTTAACTTAACTGTATCTGTAATAATTCCTTTCTGTTGTATTTTGTGGGTAAGCTTTTCCCATCCCTGGTCAATGACCTGAAGATGCTCAGTGGAGACTTATTCCCAGTGGGGTCTCTGCAAATGATTTTGGGCTTTCATTGTCATTCATACACAGCCTTCTGTAAATCTGGTGCTTAGAATTTAAGCTCTAATACATTTCTCTTTGGTTTTGGATTTTATTATTCACTGTCTTTGGATCACACAGGCCGATGTGCTTCTGTGTGGGCTTAGCTGTCACCTCTCTTAGATGGCTGCCTAGATGCTGTTTTAAGACAAGCATTTAGAATCCCATACACTGTTTTCTCCGCTAGCTGGGCACCATCTGATTACTTTACCACACGTTGATACAGCATCTTTATCTTCCGTGATGCCTCCATAAGGGTAAGTATTGATTAGCATTGCATCCTAAGAGCTGGTTTTTGTTAGGTTAGTTACTCAGTTGAGTGCAAGCTCAAAATCCACACATATACCTGTGGTATATATCCTTATATTCCTGTTCCATTTATTGGCAGCATTATCGGTTTATTGAGGGATATTATACGTGACTTCCATGGTGCCTTTATTAATTCTAATAATAGTATCATTAACCCAGTCACTGGTACAGAATTTAGAATATTATCGAGGTAGGAGGAATGTTGATACATGATCATTGCCTCTTATTACAGTGTTGCCCCCTTTTTAGAGTTTCCAAGTTTCAGAATATCACTTTTTGCCCTTTAATCCACACCTGTAATGCATAACAGCCTGATTCTTAAAAGTAGACCAAATGCTTCAAGAGCCTTATGAAGCACTATAATAAGTACACAACTGTTTTTTTAGCTCAGTTGTTTTTTGTTTTTTTTGTAAATAATTTTATTGGGGGCTTTTACAGCTCTTAAAACCATCCATCCATCCATCCATTGTGTCAAGCACATTTGTACATATGTTGCAATCATTTTAAAAACATTTTCTTTGTGTTTGAGCCCTTGGTATCAGTTCCTTATTTTTTCCTCCTTCTCCAACCCTCCCTCCATCATGAACCCTTGATAATCCATAAATTATTATTAGTTTCATATCTTACACAGACCACTGTCTTTCTTCACCCACTTTTCTGTTGTTCTTCCCCTTGGAGGGGTTGGGTTATACACTGATCATTGTGATCAGTTCCCACTTTCTCCCTTCACCATCCCCCTACCTTCCTGGTATCACTACTCTCGTTATTGGTCTTGAGGGGCTTATCTGTCCTGGATTCCCTGTGTTTCCAACTCTTATCTGTCCAGTGTACATGCTCTTAGTGTTATAGTGAGCATGGTTTCCAGAGAGCGTTGGTGCTTTTACTTTGGTACAATAATAGTTTTTAATCAAGCATTTGTTAATGTTCTGGCATATGTTCAGTATAGCAGGAGTTTAGAAAAGACAGTCATTGAGGATTGCAGTGCTACCTGAAGACCTCCCAAAAGAGGTTTGGTAGAATTTGGGATGCTGGTGAGGGGTTGCCAAGCCAGATCAGTGGCATGAACAGAGAGAGGTAGTGCACTTGATAGCAGAGCTGAATCTTTTGTCTTTGTCACTTTTTATTCTAGAATGGGCTTTAGAGATGAAGCAGCTGGGTATTTTCACAAAGCAGTGAAGCTAAACCCTGATTTCAACGATGCAAAGGAGAATTTTTATCGTGTTGCAAATTGGTTGGTAGAACGTTGGCACTTTATTATGCTCAATGATACCAAGAGGAATATGATTTATAATGCAGCAATCCAAAAGGCAGTTCATGCGGGATATAAAAGTGTTTTGGACATTGGGACAGGAACTGGAATACTAAGGTTTGTTGTAATTGCCTTTTAATTTTATATACATATAACTGTACTTTTTAATCAAATAGGCAATTGAACAATGAGATCTGAAATTAAAAGTTTTATTTCTTCTCATAACATTGGTAAGGTTATACATGCATGATTATTGTTGTATTTCTCATTGTAACTGCACAGAAGTGCTAAGACAATTTTGGAGTGATTGTTACTGCATTTTTGAATAATGATTTTTAAGAATAATTTTTGCACTATTTCCAGTGTGGAGTGTAGTTTTCTAAGTTAAGTACTATTTGTCTTCTTCATGCCTGTTTTGTTTTCTTAGTTGTGTGGTGGTGTTATGATTTATTGTATGATGTGCTTTTGGACAAGAATATTATCCCCCCCTTTATTTCAATATGGAACGAATAGTGCTTGGATTAATTAATTATTAAAAACCCTATCTTTAAACATCATAATTCTATTTGATAAACATTCTGGATGTTGTCTTCTTGATGGTGCATTTTTTCCCCCTTTTGTAGTATGTTTGCTAAGAAAGCTGGTGCACATCCCGTGTTTGCCTGTGAGTTGTCCAAGACCATGTATGAACTGGCCTGCGATGTGCTGGCAGCAAACAAGATGGAAGAGATCAAGCTCTTGCACATGAAGTCACTTGACATAGAGATTCCAAAACACATTCCTCAAAGGTATTGCAATATAAATTAATTTCAGTGTCTGCCATTCAACATTTTATTAAAAAAACAAAAACCAGAATTCACATTTCTAACTTCTAGTTGAGACAAAAAGGTTAAACGCTTATTTTAGCATACAGCAGATTTTCATAATAGGTTGTATTCTTTTTTTTTCTTTTATATTATGCATATTTTTACTTACTTAAATTTTAACAGTTTTATTGATATATAATTCACATATCATGCAATTTAGTGGTTTGGACATTAAAAAGTATTGCAATTAAAACCAATGTTGTATTCTTTAAAAAAATTTTTTAAAGTAAACTTGACATTTAGCAAATTCCCTTGATTAACTCAATATTCGTTACATTTGTTCTCATGGAAGAGATCCTCTTAGATTGTTACAGCAGGTATTATACCTATTTCATAAAGCTAAACACTGTTCTGAATCAAAATGACCTTAATCTGCATTTTCTCATGATGCAGAATTTTAATCTGCAGTCTTTATGAAGGTGTATTGGCATTGAATCCAGAGTTAGGGATACCCATTAAGACTTTGGTACTAATTAATTTGACCTTGAGCAAATCTTTAGGCTTCAAGATGTTTAGGTGGTTTGAAATACCTTCCATGTTCTCAGTGCATGCTATCTTAAATATTAAATTTTTCTGTATGCATAATAGTGGATTTAGGTGTGTGTTATATCAAAATAGTTCTTGCCCTTGACGTTCCCGTAGTCTACATAGGAAGATAAGGTATATTGAGTGAACTTTATCTTTTAAGAACTCAAATGAGACTTGCAATAGGTGTTAAAGGCATTCAGAACAGGGCGAGATCAGAAAAGCAACGAGAAGGGACTGTGGACTAGGCTTGCATGAAGACCCAAGCTAGTAAGAAAAGCAAGAGCCGTGACAGAAGAAGGCAGCCTAGTGGAGGGAAACACTGGTAACACCATTGTCATAGAAGATGGAGGATAAAGTTTGAGAGGACTGCTTACCCTACATTAGATGTTGTTAGGTCAAGGAAAATGAGAAGCGAGAAAGATAACTCATCTTGCTAGTAGCCTCTCTCTGATGATGATTTATCTGTGTCTTTGACTTTTTAAGACTTAAAAAATGTGCTCTTTAAGTGAAAAAAAAAAAGGGGGGGTTGTAAAAAATAGATTATTGCAATGTGGAAGTCCAACATTAAGGAGGGAAGCTGATAAAAGTAATGGGTATGAACTAATTTTAACGAAAAGTGATGTGCCCCACACATAAGGAGAAGGAGTGAGTGGAGAAGGGAGCACAGGGAACATGAGGTTCAGATTTGGAAATGAAAAAGGAATTGTATTAGAAAAAAATTTACATATTGACGGTTTCTATAATATGCTCTTCCTTTTTCTCCTCTCTTAGCTTTGACATCTTTGTATAGTAGCATGCCATTGTACTTACATATATCTTTAAAAAATCATTCTATAGAGTGTCCCTAGTTGTAACAGAAACTGTCGATGCAGGTTTATTTGGAGAAGGAATTGTGGAGAGTTTGATACATGCATGGGAAAATTTACTTTTACAGCCAAAGGTAAGCATGAAAACACTTTAAGCATCCATTATTTGAATAGATATTAATTGAAACCCAAGTGTATTTACAAAGCAGTATGAAATATATTTCCTACCATTAGGGTGTATACTGTGTATTTGGAAGGAAATCCATGCAAAAATCATTTAAGAACATGTATATTTGTATGCCCAGATGAGGTAGATTGGCAAAAAATACTCCGTAAGGAATTAAAAAAATGAGGTTAATTTTTGTTAATTTAGGTTAAATTGTGACATCCGTGAGTAGTTTTGAGAGAGAGGTCCTTTCAATTGCATAGTTCTCCTTGCTTGTATTTGTGTTAAGTTACAAAAGGCTTTGTGGTGGCATTTGATTGGCATGGTTAATTGCTCACTTGCTAGCTGAAAGCTGAGTTATTTGAGTCTCCTTTGAAGCTCCTTGGAAGAAAGGGCTTGAGGGCTGGTGATTTGCTTCTGAAAAATGGGTTGTTGAAAGCCCTACTTCATACAGAGGAGCTGCCAGGAGGTAGAATTTACTGAAGGACAAGTTGTAGTGTGGTTTTATGATTTGGGTCTCTCAGTTAGAATCATACCCAATAGCCTCTCATTCTTAGCAAGCTTATTTTAGTTTCCTCCTTTCCTCTCATCCTTTCTTATTTTAAAAATTTCATACGTAGCAATGAAAAGAAAAGGAATAAAAGGAAAACAACCCAGCTTATCCTCACTGTTTGAAAGTTGTTGTTTTCTTTCTAATTAAGCCTGTTATACGTTTTATATACAAATAATGGTATAATTTTTCAGTCCACAGGTGAAGATGATAATTGTGAGAAGTATGGGAAAGTTATACCGGCAAGTGCTGTTATATTTGGGATAGCAGTGGAATGTGCAGAGATACGAAGACATCATAGGTGAGTGACGATTTAAATAATATACTAAAAACAGTAATTTATTTATTTTCTTTAACAAATCATTTTATTGGGGACTCCTACAACTCTTACCACAATCCTTACATCCATCCATTGTGTCAAGCACATTTGTACATTTGTAGCCCTCATCATTCTCGAAACATTTTCTTTCTACTTGAGCCCTTGGTATCAACTCCTCATTTTACCCCTCCCCCCCACCCTCACGAGCCCTTGATAATTTATAAATTGTTATTATTTTTCATGTCTTACACTGACTGATGTCTCCTGTCACCCACTTTTCTGTTGTCCGGCCTTCAGAGAGGGGGTTATTCTATCTTAACTTTTTAAAGATCATTTTACTGGGGGCTCTTCCAGCTCTTACAACAATCCATACATCAGTGTACCAAGCATATTTGTGCATATGTTGCCATCATTTTCTAAACGTCTACATTCTATGTGAGCTCTTGGTATCAGCCCCTCTTTTTACTCTCCCTCTCCCCTCCCCATTTTTGTGGCCCTTTGATAAATTATACATTATTATTTTCATATCTTACACGGACTGTTATCTCCCTTCCCCTGCAGTTTCTTTTCTCTCCACCTTTCCCCTATCCTCCTGGTATTGCTACTCCCTCTTCCATTCCTGAGGGGTTTAGCTGACCCAGATTCCATGTGTCCTGAGCTCTTATCTGTACCTGTGTACATGCTCCAGCCTAGCCCTCAGTGAAAGTCAGGACTGGGGTCATGATAGTGGGGGTGACTCAAGGAACCAGAGGAATAGTATGTGTTTCATCAGTGCTATATTTCACCCTGTTTGTCTCATCCCTCCCTTAGGAACCTTCTGTGAGGGGTGTCCCATTTTCTACAGATGGGTTTTGGGTCTCTGCTTCAAATCCCCACATTCTCAACAATATGTTTGTTTTGGGTCTCCTGAGGGCTGTTACCTGAACCCATTGGCACCTCATGATCACACAGGCTGGTGTGCTTCTTCCATGTGGGCTGTTGCTTCTCTGCTAGATGGCTGCTTGTTTAACTTCAAGCCTTTAAGACCCCAGATGTTACTGTATTGAGGGAGATACGTTACTGGTAGCTGGTTGTAGACCAGAGGAAGGGAACGCGTTAGAAGTGTGTTGGGAGGGGCCGGACAATTACTACTAAAGACTCCACTTGACAAATACACAGAGTCCTAGGTTCTTCCCCCACTTCTTCAAGGTCAAAAGTGGGTCGCACTTTCCAGTCACAGGATCATGGAGACCAAATAAAACCGACTATCGGCCAAGAGTCTTTAGGGCTTCTCTCAGTGAAGGCATCAGGTGAAAATGGAGTTCATTTCCAGACTCTTCTGGAGGATTCAAAAGTCTCTTTCCCATGCTCCCTGCTCCTGGTCCTCTTACCCGAGGACCCCTCAGCTGTGTCCCTCAGAGACGCTCCACAGACGGCCTGCAGCCTGTGGAGGACAGAGCCAGGCTGACTCAGCGGGTGGCAACTCCATGTTAATAGATTTAAACTCACTGCCACTGAGTTGATTCTGACTCGTGGTGATCCTATAGGACTATGGGTTTCTGAGAGTAAAACTCTTCACAGGTGTGGAAAGCCTCCTCTTTCTCCCGTGGAGCAGCGGTGGTTTTGAATTGCTGACCTTGTGGTTCCCAGCCCAACATGTATGCATTCGGCCACCAGGGCTCCTTGTTAATAGATTTACTTCACGGTTTTTATCAGTTTCGTGGTTCTCAGATTTTAGAATTTGAGTTTTCTACTTTTATTTTAAAGTTAAGGATGAATTCCCTGTACCTGCATCTTTGTAGCTTTATCTTGATTATTTTCTTGAGATAAATCCAGTACAGAGAAATTACTAAGTTAAAGAGTATGTGCATATTTCAGTTTTCAACGAGATACATCACTTAATTGCCTCCTAGAATATATAGTTTATGTTTTCTGGAATTCTTGTAGCCTAACTCTAGACTCTGCCCTCATTGTATTCTATAGGAAGACCACTCATAATTTGCTAAGCAAAACAGGAAGTGACTGGTATTTACCATTTTGAGAAAGGACTCCTTCATAATTCATTTCTATAGCAAAACAGTGTGTGGCTGTGCAACAGAAGGCCGGAGGAGCTGTTGCAGAGATAAAAACGCTGTACAGTTTGACTGAGTAGGCCTGTGTGAGCGAAGTCCAGTATATTTTTGCAAAGCTCAACAGTGCAGGTTGAGGACTATGAAAAAGCATATGGATGAATATTTTTGTTTTATCTGGTAGAAACATTTGCAACAGTATGATGAAAATTCTCATTTGGACTAGCTGAATATAGTACCCATCTGAAAGAGCAAATGCAGCAAGAAAATTGTGGGGTTTTTTATAGATATTAAAAAACAAAAAGAAAGCTACCTCTTTAGAGACTGAAAAACAGTAATATATAGAAATAGAAAAATAAATCAGTGGTGTACAATAATGTAGATACAGATCCTTGAATTTATACAGATTTAGTATGTTATAAAAGTGGTAATTTCAGATCATCAGGAAAAAAGGTTCAACTATTGAGTAAATGGAGATGGTATAATTTATACAGGAAAAAAATTAGGTCTTTTAATTCCACATAAAGATGTATGTTTGAAGAAAAATCATTAGTTGACGAAACTGTTTCAAAGCAAAGCGGTTGAAAGATCATAAGAGGTTGAGAAATTTGATGCCATAAAAGTGGAAAACTAAAAAAAAAATTTGAAAACTTCCATCAGGTGACCTACTTATTGCCATGCCATACTGACTCATAGTGACCCCCTGTGGGTTTCCCAGACTAACTATTTACGGAAGTAGAACCCCCAGTCTTTCTCCCGAGGAGTTATTGGTGATTTTGAACTGCCAACCATGCGATTGCAGCCCTGTACTACCAGAGTTCCATTCCGTTTGGTAAAAGATAGTATAAATAAAGGGAGAGAACAAATAGTAAACCAGGATGAAAAGGTGCAAAATTGTGTGGAGGCCACCTCTGACTTGTGGCTATACAAGGGAGGAGAATCCATCCCTTCACCAGCCCAGGGCCTTTTGCCAAGGGACAGACATCAAACATGTTCCAACCTCCATCAGCCATTCCTCCAGGAACACTACTTCTCTGCTGGTTTGATAATCCATTGCAACTGCTACACAGACACCAGGGAGTACTCAAAATCATGGGGGGTGCTTAGGAAAGTTTACCAGTTAGTCATTGGTCCACAGCAATGCCTCTCCTCAGCTGACAGCCAAGTCACTCTAGTCCACAGCCTTTCCGCTTTGTGTCCTTTGACCTCTGCCTTCATGGGTCAGGAAGCCTGCCCATCGCTCTGCCTCCCAGTTTCGGTTTCTGTGCTGTACCTCTACTCCGTCTCCTGGTCTCCCTGTTTCCGCCTCCAGTCTCAATATGGCAAGGTGTCTGCTGCCTCTGCCCCTTCAATCAGGGATCTCAAACGTGCTCCGCTCCTGGCTCTTTTTCCTTCATGGTCCTGGGAATTCTCTATTTTCCTGCTTCTGGGATGGCTTACTCTGGTACACAGAGGAATTGCTTTGATGAAGATGTGGTTTTTGTCTTTCAGTGGACCATATCCACAAGGAAACAAAGGGGGGTGACTTGATTGACACCCCTCAGTAAGATGGAGACTCAGAATAAAGCCTAATTTAATACTGTCTATTAGCCTATTAGAAGTCCCTCTAAAATGAGGCTGTAACCACAGGCACAGAGGATAGAATTTACAGTACATCACAAAAGGGATTGTGGCTGGACGGGCCATACTAATCGACTGTGTGGCAGGACCAATACACTAATCAGTTAGAGAAGGAGCCCTGGTGGTGCAGGGGTTACATGTTAGTCTGCTAACCAGAAGGCTAGTGATTCGAATCAGGGAGCCGCTCATGGGAGAATGATGCGGCATTCTGCGTCTAATGGTTTATAGTCTTGGGAACCCTGGGGAGCAGTTCTACTCTGTCTCCTGGGATCACTGTGAGTTGGATTTGACTTGTTGGTAGTGGGTTGGTATTAATCATGAAAATGTAAATTATATCCGTGGGATAACATTTTAAAACTGCTTTTATTAGCAAATACTAAAAGTTTTAAATGGGATCTTGTTTTCTTAAGGTTTGGGAATTATACATTGTTATGTTGTACAAGATTTTAATAGTTCGACTTTAATACAACAGTTTGATAGTTCAGTCTAGCACAGTTAAAGATACGTGGAGGCCTTGACCTAGCAGTTGTACTTAAGGGAATCGTTCCTGACTATGCTCAGAACCAAAAGGTTTTGAAAACTTCTATTTATCTTTTATTTACATTTTTCCACAAACTATTTTTTAAAATCGTTTTATTGGGAGCTCTTACAGATAAAACAATTCATAATTCAATTAGATCAAGCATAATTGTACAATTGCTGTCACCATCATTTAAAAAACATTTTCTTACTGAACTCTTTGATAGCAGCACCCCTTTATCCCCCTCTTTCCCCCACCCTGCCCCCCAGGAACCCTTATTATTATATTGTTGGTTTTTTTTGCCGTAACTTACCCCATCCAATGTTTCTGCTTACCTACAATTCTGTTATTTGTTCCCCTGAGTGGGGCTATAAAGTCATCATTGCTATCGGTCCCCCACCCCTTCCCATACCCTCAGGGAATCCTTATTCCCATTACTATTTCTGAAGGATTTATCTATCTTGGATTTTATACATCAGACAATTTTATGTAACTGAACATATGCAGGTCTAACAAGATTAATGAGGTAAAACTACGACCATAATAGTAAGAGGAGGAAATATTAAAGATCTCGGATAGTTTATCGGTGCTATTCTGCACCCTGGAGATGTGATCCTTTCCAGGTGGCCCTTCTGTGAGGACTAACCAGTTATCTTACAGGTGGGTTTTAGTTCTCCACTTTGTCTATGCTCCTTCATGCCAATTTGATCCTAAGTTTTTGAACTTCTGATAACTCTTCCCGTCAACACCTCATGATCACACAGGCTGGTGTGCTTATTCCATGTGGGCTTTGTTGCTTCTCTACTGGTTGGCTGCTTGTTAAACCTTGTTAAGACCCCAGATGCTATATCTTTAATAGCTGGGCACCATCAGAGTTCTTCACCACATTTAATTATGCTCCCCTTTTGCCTTTGGCGATCATGCTGGAAAGGTGAGTATCATACCGTGCCACATGATTAGAAAAAGCCGTTCCATAACCTTTGTTGTTGTTTTTTTTTTTTTATTTTGATTGTGAATTAGGTGAAGGGTTTACAGAGCAGATCAGGTTAAGATTAAAACAATTTATATACATTTTGTTTGATCTCACCCATTGGAATCCCTCAGTATACAATTATTTATACGACTTCCACTGTTTCCTGTTTTCATTCCTCCTCCTTTCCTAACCCTCTGAACGTCTTCTTTTAGTAAATGCCCTTTTGATTTTAAGTGGTTGGTTATTCTAGCACAGATGAGTTCAGTTCCAGACCCGAAGAATGACTAAGGGTCATACTCTTAGTAAGCCTTTTGAGTTTTCCACATTTTGCTCCCACTCTATCCAGAACCTTCTAATGTGATCTTTGTCAGAGGATTCAGTTGTGGTGGCTGTGCACCATCTAATTCTGGTATCAGGGATCTGGAGACTGAGGTCTCTGTGGTCCATTAGTTTATTGAGCTAATTGTTCTCACCTGTCTCCCAGCTTTCGTCAGTCTTCTTCCCTCGGGATGGGGAGAGGAAAGACCAGTGGTTGCACTTTAGATGGCTGCTTGCAAGCTTTTAAGATCCCAGGTGGTACTCGCCATAGGATGATGCTGAGCATTGTCTTTGTGAACTTGGTGTCCCCGATACTATGGGCCTTGGGTCCCCTAACCCTGCAGCTCATTGCGTAACATTGCCCCCTCTGTGCTCCACTACATTTATGGATAAATTTGTAGCAAGGCTAAATAAATACTCATATACAAATATGCTCTGTTAAACCTATATATATATTTGTGGGTCTACTCTCTCTCTTTCCCACACCTATTCAGCCTGGTTGTCTAGCCAAATACCTACTCACAGATCATCACTTATGCAGGATTGTGTATTTAACAGCATTTGCCTGTGGCCTTTAGCTCTTATAGACCTCCCTGTCTTCCCTGCCGCCATACTGTACAGTGCTTTCCCTTCACCTCTAGCCAGGGACTCCTCTCCCTCCTTTCCCCTATCATTTCTGTTAATGATCAAAGAACGTTTGTCATTTTGAAAACCTTTCATAGACTTTTTATAATAGTAGTCTCATATATTTGTCCTTTTGTAATTGAGGAATTTCACTCCACATACTGCCCTCCTTTAGCTTTATCCCTGTTATGAGCTAATTCTTAGATTGATTGTTAGTCTCTAACATTGCATAGTATTCCATTGTGTGTATATACCAAAGTTTATCTGTTTTCCCACTGGTGGGCATTTAGTTTGTTTCCATCATCTTGTTATCTCGAGCAGTGCTGCAGTGAACATGGGTTCCATGAACTGCTTTTTTTTTAATGAACTCACCTATGCAAGAATTTTTTTGCATATTTTGAATATGAGCCCTTTGTTGGATATATACATTGGAAATCTCATTCCCCACTTAGTGATTTCATTTTTACTTTTCATAAATAGTTGGATATATATGTTTATACCCAAGAAGTTTAATTTTTATGTTTATTTTGTTCTGGAGTCATTTTAGATGATCTTACTTGATGCGTTAGTCCAGGTAGACTAGTGAAACAAATCCAGAGATTGATGTGTATAAGAAAGAGGTTTATATATAAGAGCAATTGAATATTGAGAAAACTTCCCAGCCCAGTCCAGATCAAGTCCATAAGTCTGATATTAGCCCATATGTCTGATACCAATCTGTAAAGTCCTCTTCAGACTCATGAAACACATGCAATGATGCCAATTGCAGGAAGATCACAGGCCAGTGTGTGGGAAGTCTTGTGGATCCAGTGACAGTAGAAGCACCTTAGCACTGGCAGGGGTCTCCACGTGGCTTCACCAGCTCTGGGCACTACGGTAGTTCCATGTGTCTTGTCAGTTGCAATGTCTCTCAGGGAGTGAGTCAAGAGAGTATTCTTCCTGGGAGGAATACTCCACCCCTTCACTCTTAATCCTCTCAAATTGATAAATAATTATATAACCACCACACTTGATACTAAAAAATCCCATCCTTCTCCTTTTTTTCTCCTTCACCCTTTTGTTTTTCCTCCCCCCAGGGTTGGTGTTAAAAGCATTGTGGGGATCCACTTGCCAACAAATGTGAAATTCCATAGTCCAGCTTATTCCTCTGTAGATGCTGAAGAAACCATTGAACCTTACACAACTGAGAAAATGAGCCGAGTCCCTGGGGGATATGTGCCTTTGACGGAATGTTTTGAAATTATGACAGTAGATTTCAACAATCTTCAGGTAAAAAAAGTTGATTATTTGTTTACTGACTATTGGATTTCAGACACTGTTTAAGGTGATACGGATGATAGTCTTAGTTTAAGAATTTACGAAGGCAGGGGAAAGGAAGGGGGTGTTAAAAAACCTAGGGACAAGGGAACAACAAGCGATTGAAAATCGATGGCGAGGAGGGTATAGGATGCATGATAGGGCTTGATTAAGGGCAATGTAACCGAGAGGAATTACTGAAACCCGAGGGAAGGCCGAACATGATAGTGGGACAAGAGGAAAGTAAAAGGAAATAGAGGAAAGAACTAGGAGGCAAAGGACATTTATAGAGGTCTAAATACAGACATGTACATTGTAAATATATTTATATATAGTGAGGGAAATAGATCTATGTACTACATATACTTATATGCTAAGTATTAAGGTAGCAGACAGACATTGAGCCTCTACCTGAGTCCTCCCTCAACACAAGAACACTCTGTTCTAATAACCTGGCATTCCACGATGCTCATCTTCCTGACACGTTCGCTGAAGACAAATGGGTGCATAAGCAAATGTGAAGAAAGCTGATGATGCCAGGCTATCAAAAGAGATAGCATCTGGGGTCTTAAAGGCTTGAAGATAAACAAGCGACCATCTAGCTGGGAAGCAATAATGTCCACATGGAAGAAGCCACACCAGCCTGCGTTATCACAAGGTGTCGAAGGGATCAGGCATCAAAGACTCAGAACAAAAAAATCCTATCAATGTGAATGAGAGGGAGTGTGGAGTGGAGATCCAAAGCCCATCTGTAGACAATTGGACATCCCCTCACAGAAGGTCACAAAGAAGAGACAGCCAGTCAGGGTGCAGTATAGCACCTAAGAAACATACAACTTTCTTCTAGTTCTTTAAGACTTCCTTCCCTCCACTGTCATGACCCCAATTCTACCTTACAAATCCAGCTAGACCAGAGCATGTACACGGGTGTAGATAAAAGCTGGAAACACGGAATCCAGGATAGATAAACCCCTCAGGACCAATAATGAGATTATCGATACAAGTGGGTAAGGGAAAAATAGGGGGAGAAAGGTGGTACCTATCACAATGATATACATATAATCTCCTCCCTGGGGGACGGGCAACAGAAAAGTGGGTGAAGGGAGACATTGGTCAGTCTAAGACATGAAAAATAATAATAATTTTTAAATTATCAAGGGTTCGTGAGGAGGGAGAGTGGAGGAGGAAAGGGAATATTGAGTTGATAACCAAGGACTCAAGTAGAAAAAAATGTTTTGAAAATGTTGATGGCAACATATATACAAATGTGCTTGACATAATGGATGGATGTATGGATTGTGATAAGAGCTTTATAGCCCCAAATAAAATTATTTAGAAAACAAAAGAAAAAATTTACGTATGATTTCACTTGTTGCAAATAAAGAAAATGAAGAAAAGGGAATCAGAATTCCCTCTGAAATGATTAGGAATTTACTGGTACTTAAATCTGAATAAAATAAACAGATTTGGGACACATGTGCTCTGGTTTACACATTCAAGTTATATAGGAAAACTGGAAAAAGCCATATTAGTGTTTCCCCCACCTTTTGAAAACCATCTTTGCATCTGTGAAAATATACAAGCATTCACTATTTTTCCTTAAGAAAACAAAACATGGATGTATGTATGGATTGTGATAAGAGTTGTACGAGCACCCAATAAAATGATTAAAAAATAATAAAATTTAAAAACAAAAACAATACTTACTGCTTTGCCCTTTCATTCCTTGTTTTATTATGGGGTTCTTCCCATGTCTAATATCTGTTTGCTTCATTTGTAAAATAGTGGAATGGAATTCAGTAGAGTAGGTCAGAGCTTTCCTTCCAGTGTGCTTTAAGTGGTTCTAGGTGTGCCACGATAGTGTGCCTTCCCCTGAGGGCCCTGGGCAGAACTTACAGTATTATGATATATGGAGGCATTTTTATATGAAATGTGTAAAACCTTCTCGTTCCTTTTATATTTTTATCAGGAATTAAAAAGTCTTGCAACTAAAAGGCCTGATAAGATCCGGGTACCTTTTATTAAAGAAGGCACACTGGATGCTATTGTGGTTTGGTTTGTGCTGCAGCTTGATGAAGAGCACAGTTTATCTACAAGTCCAAGTGAGGAGACATGTTGGGAACAGGCTGTCTACCCTGTACAGAACCTGGCAGGTATATCTTTTCTAATTTTTATTTTTAACTTGTTGCTTTAATCCTCAAAACTTTGGAATTGGGAAAAACAAAAAACACTAAGCAGACAAAAATTCATGTGACGTTTTCAGTTAAGAGGTGGGTTAAGTATTTTGGAATGTTCCTTTTCTTATTTAAAAGTAGTTTTAAATACATTTGATTAAGAAGAGATACTAAAATGTAACTCTGTTCCATACCAGTCAAAATTAAATCATTTGATCAGTTTTGATGACTCTGGTTATTAGTAGATTAGAGAAATGCTGGAACATCTCTATGGGAAAATTTGACTTTGAGCTGAGTTCTTACTGGCAGATAATCTGATGGAGCTGAAACATGCATGCTTTCACATTAGCACAATATTTTGCTTACAGGTTAAAGGTGTCCAGGGATCCATAAACTATTCAGGGAAGTTGTTAAAGTATTTTTCAATGAGATGCTTTTCAGTGTATTTCTCAGGAGTTTTGTTACATAGAAAAACTGTTGGTTCTAACAAAATTTTATTGAGACACAGCTATGCCCTTTCATTTCTTTCTTAATGTATTTTTGGTGAGCGGATACACAGCAATAATTTCCCACAGGCAGTGTTCAGTGACATTAGTTACATTGTTTATATTGTGTCCACATTCTCACTGCTGTTCCAGTGCTTGGCGTCCCATTCATTAAGTCTGGCTGGCCCCACTCTCCCACCCCAGCCTTCTCATCTGTGCTTTAAAATAGCTGCTGTCCATTCGTCTCATAGGTACTTCAAAAAAGAGTGCAGTACATAAGCGTGACAGTCTTTACTTTTTGAGCTAACTTGCTAATTACTAATTACTAATTAGTTAATGAGCTAATTTTCTGGTTCATGGTTTACAGAGTATCTCAGGATGATAATCCCAGGGAAACCTCCAGTCTTTCAGTGGATCCAGTACATCTGGATTATTTTGAGAACTTAAAGTTCGGGTCTACACTTTTCCTCTTCTGTCGGTTGTGACTCTGATGAGAATGTCCACATTGATCAGGTGTTCAAGAGTGGTGGCCGGGCACCATTTAACTCTTTTGGTCTCAGGGTCAAGGAGGCTGTGGGTCTTGGAGACAGTTAATCTTCCAATCTGGGTCCTTCTCTGAGCCCACGATGTCTTTTTTTTTCTCTTGTGAACAAATCTATCTTAGGCTTGCAAAATTTTAAGATCCTAGGCACTACTAACCAAACTAGAATGTAGAACATGTTATATTATTATATCAGTTGACCTAATTGCCTCCTGAAACTATGACCAAATCTTCAAGGAAAACTAATCCTCTGAGGTGTTTGGCTGTGTCTGTATCTGTAGTTTCTATTTAAAAAGCTCTAGTGTGTGAAAACAAGTAAACTGCATTGGAAGCAGTACAAGCAGAATGCTCCTTAGAAGTGAGAATGGGGAGACTGTTTCACTTGCTTTGGGCATGTTGTCAGGAGAGTCTAGTCCCTGAAGAAGGACAGGCTGGTGTGTGTCCTCCATGTGGGCTTGTGGCTTCTTTCCTAAATGTCCACTTGCTTCACTTCAAGCCTGTAAGATCCCAGATGCTGTATCTTCAAGTAGTCGGACACCATCAGCTTTCTTCACCACATATATGTATGCACCTACTTTGTCTTCAGTGATCATGTCGGGAGGGTGAGCATCACAGAATGCCAGGTTGTTAAACAAAGTGTTCTTGCATTGAGGGAGGGCTTGAGTAGAGACCCAAAGTCTGTCTGCTTCCTCGATGTATTGCCATATAAAAATAGTACATAGGTCAGTACCTCTTTTTATGAATTAATTTATTTACATAAGTGCACACCTATGTTTATCCCTCTATTCATTGCTTTGCTTCCTAGATCTTTCCTATGATTTCTTTGACCTTCCTCCTGCCCCACTATCATACTCGTCCTTCGTCTGTCTCTTAGTAATTCCTCTCAGCTAGATTGCTGTTGCTCCAACACCGCCAGGATCTCTGCTTCCTCCTCGTTGCTTTTTGACTCCCTAGTTGGTCCCCTGTCTATGGCGCTGTTTGCTCACCACTCCTTTCCCTGCCTTCTCCCGTAAGTCCCCCCGGGCCTGCTGGGCCTGCTGCTTTCTCCTCAGGCTTGCTTCCCATTGCTTAGCTTATATAGGTAGGCAAAAAAACCAACAATAACAGACAAAGAAAACAAAGGACTGAATAAAAAGGGGGCGGGGGAGGAAAAAAACCACAACCCCCCCCCCCCCCGCCCCAATGAAAAAGCATACATAATTCCAGGTCTGTCTGCTGACTTTTAAGACTATCTCCCCACCGGTACCGGGGCTTCCGGGAACTGCCCTTTCTAGCCTGAAGTCTATTTGGGGGCTCCTGAGGGGCGTTTGTGGCTTTGCTTTCCTCCAGTTGCTGATCTGTTATGTTCCCTTATTAGTTTGCCCCACTGTGGGGGTAATCGGACCAGACCCTGCTATGTGTCTCCAGTCTCGTCCTCTGTCGCAATATACTCCAGCAAGGTTTACCTCAATTCCTTTGTTGATGGTTCTGATTGTTTGAGATTTTACTTCTAGGTCTGTGATCCACATGGAGTTTGTTCTTGTGCATAAGATAAGGGTCTTGTTTGATTTTCTACAGGTGGATATCCATTGTTTCCAGCACCACTTGTTAAAGAGGGCATCCACCTCTCACTTGATGTTTTTTGGACCCTTGATGAAGGTTGATTATCTATAACCTGATGGTTTTATTTCTGGGTTTTCAGTTCTTTTCCATTGGTCTAAGTATCTGTCATTACTCCAATACCACGCTGTCTTGACCACTGTGGCTATATAGTAGGTGTTAAAGTCAGATAAGGCAAGCCCTTTGAATTTGTCTTCTTGAGGAGTTCTGTGCTAATTCTGGGCTTCTTCCCTCTCTATATGAAATTGGTGGTCAGTTTTTCCAATTCTTTGAAGAAGGTGGTTGGTATTGGAATTGGGATAGCGTTAAATTTATATAGTGCCTTGGTAAAAATTTACATCTTTACTGTATTGAGTCTTCTGATTCATGAGCATGGGGTATTCTGCCATTTATGGAGGTCGATTTTGGTTTCCTGTAGTAGTGTTCTGTAATTTTCCTTGTGTAAATTTTTTTGATTAGATATCCCTAGATATTTATTTCAGTTTGCTCTTTGCTATTATGAAGGGTATGGCCTTCTTCATTTCCTTTTTTGTGTTCTTGTCCAATATATTTAGTAAACCTGATATATTTAGTAAACCAATAGACGTTTGTTTGTTGATTTTGCATCATGCCACTCTTCTGTATTCCTCTATTGCTATTGTGGAGTTTTGGGGGCTTGCAATGTATAGAATCATGTCCTCAAATAGCAGCAGTTTCACCTCCTCTCTCCTGTATGGATACTCTCAATGTCCTTCTGCTGCCTTATATTGTTAGCTAGGACCTCCAGTATGATGTTGAAAAGAAGTGGGGACTAGGGGCATAGAAGATTACTATTCATCCTCCAGTGTGGTCTCCTGTTTAGTGGGTTGTTTTAGTTTTTCCTCCGTTGACTATGATATTGGCTATTGACTTTTCATAAATAGTTTGTATTAACTTGAGAAATTCCCTTCCGTTCCAATCTTCTTGAGTGTCTTAATTAGGAATGGGTGTTGGATGTTGTCAAATGGTTTTTCTGTATCTATTGATATTATCATGTGATTCTTACCCTTTTCTTATCAATGTGATGAATAATATTGGTGGACTTTTGGGTGTTAAACCTTCCCTGAATCCCTGGCATGAATTCCACCTGATCATGATAGACGATATGTTTTATATACTTTTGTATTCTCTTGGCCAATCTTTTGTTAAGGATTTTTGGACAATGTTCATTAGAGATACTGGTCTGTAGTTCTCTATTCCTGTGAGATCTTTGCCCTGTTTGAGTATCAAAGTTATACTGGTTTGTAGAATGAGTTTGTGAGTTTCCCATATTTTCCTCTGATCTGGAATTTGTGGAGGATCAGTATCAGCTCTTCTCTGAATGTTTGGTAGAATTCTCCTGGGAAGCCATCTGGCCCAGGAGTTTTTTTCGTTGGTAATTTCTGGATAATCATGTTTCTTCTTTTGCTATGAGTCTCTTGAGGTTCTTGGCCTCTATCTGTGATAATCTAGGGAGAGATCGTTTTTCCATGTATTTGTCTATGTATTCCACTTTGTTGAATTCATTATAATACAGACTTTCATAGTACTTTGTGATTTTCCTTTTAATCTCGTTGGGGTCCATTGGGATCTCCCTGGTTTCATCCCTCATCTTGGCTATCAATGTTTATTCCTTCCTTTCCTTGTTTAGGCTTGCCAGCTGATTGTCGATTCTGTTAATCCTTTCATAGAACCAGTTTTTACATTGTTCTCTTGTCTTCTCACTGGTTTTACTCTGCCCTGATTTTTATTATTTCTTTTTATTTTGCTATTGGAGAGGTTGTTCTGTTGACTCTGTTCTAGATGCTGGAGGTTTTTTGATAGTGTATCAATCATAAGTCTCTCCTTTTCATATATGCATCAATTACTATCAAACTTCCTCTGATAACTACTTTTGCTGTATCCCATATGTTTGGGTACGCTGTATTCACATTCTCATGTTTCTAGAAACTTTCTCATTTCCTCTCTAATCTGGGCCAGTGCCCATTTGTGTTGCAGATTGCTATTCATCCTCCAATTGTCTGCCCTTGTTTTTCTGGTCATCTTTTGCTGTTCTCCAGCTTTGTGGCATGGTGGTCCAAGGGATGTCTGAGTGCTCTCTGTGTATTTGAATTTACTCAGGCTTCACTTGTGTCCCAGTGTGTGGTGTATTTTCAAAAACGAGCTATGTACACTTTTAAAGAATGTGAATGTAGAATGATGATGGCAATGAAAAAAAAAGAAATGACAAGGTAATAATTTATAAATTATCAAGGGTTCATGGGGGAGGGGGGGAGGGAAATGAGGAGCTGATGCTAGGGGCTTAAGTGGAGAGCAAATGTTTTGAGAATGATGAGGGTAATGAATGTACAAATGTGCTTTACACAATTGATGTATGTATGGATTGTGATAAGAGTTGTATGAGCCCCTAATAAAATGATTTTTTAAAAAAATGTGAATGTTTTTGCAGTTGGATGGAGAGCTCTATAAATGTTTTTCAGGCCCTGTTGTCTAATTGTAGTGTTTAGTTATGTAGCCTCCTTGCTGAACTTCTTTCCCATTGATCTCTCTTCCGCTGATGGTGGTGTATTAAAATCACCTATTATGATTATTGTGTCTGATTTCTTTTTTCATCTTTTGAATAGTTTGATGAATTTTGCAGGTCTCTTGTTGGGCGTTTATTCATTTATTATGCTTTCTGGTTCCTGGTCTACTGCCCCTTTGAGTTTTATATAGTGCCCATACTTGTCTCGTGTTAGGGTTTGCACCTTGAGATTAAGTTTGTCTGAGATTAGGATTGCAGCACCTGATTTTTTAAAGTTGCCGTTGGCCTGGTATGTTTTCTGCCTACCTTTTATTCTGAGTCTATTTTTGTCTGAGAGCTTAAAATGTGTCTCTTGCAGGCAACAGATTGATGGGTTATGTTTTTGGAGTCAGTCTGTTAACGTTTTTCTTTTAATGGATGAGTTCAGGTGGTTGACATTCAGAGTCATTACTGTCATTGCTGTCATTTCGTACCCTTTGTGTTAGGTGTTTTCTTATCTGCCTTCATATCAGTGTGTCGTGTTTATGTGGTGGCCTTCATTCTTGCCTTCTTTCCCCTCTGAGGCAATGTTATTTTGGCAATTGTTTTCTGTATGGCGTAATTGACTTCTGGTTAGAGTTTCGTTATATGGAGGTCTCCTGCTTGTGTTGGGTGGGTGTTGGTCTTCTGACCACAGTGAGTTGGCAAGGATTTTCCACAGGGTTGGGTGTATTAGGGCGTATTCCTTTGAGCTTTTCCTTGTCCAGGAAGACTCTGACCCGGCCGTCTATCTTAACAGTCTGGTAGTGTAGAGGACTCTCAGGTTGGTGTTTTTTTTCCTTTCAGCTTTCAGAAGATGCTTCTCCACGCCCTCCTCCTCCTCATGGTATCTGCTGATAGGTCTGAGTACATTCTTCCATGAGTACCATTTTATGTGATTGCCTTTTTTTATCTTGCTGCTCTTAAAATTTTCTCTTTTCCTCCAGTTGAATAGCTGTATATACTCATGTATAAGCTGAGTTTTTCAGCACATTTTTAATGCAGTTTTTGTGGTAAAATTAGATGTCTTGGCTGATATTCAGGTTGGCTTATACTCCAGTATGTATAATTTAACTATTATGTGACTTTGTGAGTTCTTCCTGGGGTTTTGTCTAAGTGGTGTCCTCTCTGCTTCCTTTATGACTGTCTGATCCTCATTCATTAAGGTGGGGAAGTTGCTTCCAGGAATTCCCTGGGTAATTTAGCTGTAGACTTCTTTGTTGTGTCTTGTTCTGGAAGACCAATTATTCGAACATTGTTCCTCTTCATAGCATGTCATTGTTCTCAGGTTTTCTTCCGCCACTTTATCTTGTTTGACTGTCTTTCCCATTTGTTGATGTCTGCCTGATTGTCCTCGAGATTGCTGACATGATTCACCATCTCTTCTAGTCTGTTGGTGAGGTCTGTGGTCTTCTGTTTTGCTTCTGTTACCTCATCCATTAGTTCTTGTATGTCCTTTTGGTGTGTGGACTTTATATCCTCCATCTTGAACTTTATTTTCTCTATCATTGTGTCTTTATTCTGTGTTGCTTCCCTCATATCCTGTATTACTCCAAGGAGCACTCTGCAGATTTCTTTTTGTTGCAGATCAACGTCTGTTTCTTCTATGAGCGTTATTAGGTTATGATTTCTGCTGCTGTTTTGTTTTTCTTGTTTTCTTGTTGAGGGTGTTGAAGTATGTTGCTGTCTGCATGTTATTTTGGAAGAACTGGGCACCATAATCTTAGGAGACTGAGGTACTCTGATCTCTTTCTCTGTGTGACTGGAAGAGTGGTTTCAGGGGATACCTGTGGCCTAATATGGTGATGGGTTCGGCTGCGGTTTAGGCTTAGTGCCAAGGCTACTCAGTGCCCAGAGACAGTTTAGGGCCTGCCTTGGAGGGTGTACTGAGGCCCATGACTGTAGGTATGCTACTGGGCTGGGTTGGGGCAGGCCTGCAGCTTGGTCTTGGTCATGGTCTGAAATGTCTAAACTGGTAGAGCCAGTTTGTGGCTTTCACCCGCAGGCATTTCCTGTTTTCTTATATTAAAATCCTCGGCTATGCTGTTTAGATTTCTGCCAGTTTTGTTATACTAATATTATGCTAATAGATCAGGACCCAGTTTTGGAGGCTTACATTCAAAGTTACTCTAAAGGAACACAGCCTGAATTGTAATCATTTGCAAAAAAACTTTTTCTTTTTATAATGGGCTTGTGGGGTGTCCTGGTATTGGGGCTGTGCTGTGCTGATCCTCAGCGACAGGGGATGAAATTAGCCCAGTGATTTGGGGTCAACTGCACCTGAATTCTCCCTAGACTGTACTCCTGTGTCACTCCCGGCTCTCCCACACAGCTGTGTCATAGGTAAATATCCCAGGGGCTCCTCCGTTACTGCAAATTAGTGACTGATTATCTATTGTTACCCATTCTGGTGGGCACAGAGCTGGGGAGAGGGAAAGGGGATGGCCAATGTAGTAACTTCGTTACTGGCTGCGGAGGGAATGAAAGAGTGGGATGGATAGCAGAGAGGGGAACTCTGGTGTTAGGTCTGGAGGCTAGTTATCAGAGGCTCTGGCAAGCCTGGGATTATAACCACCTTTAGTCAGCATACTGGGCAATTTACTGCATGCTGCGAGTCTTGGAACTTGAGTGTAGGAAGGAGTGGCAGATGATGTTCCACTGGATCTGGTGAGGGATTAGCTGAGCACTCAGGCAGATGCAGTGCACTTAGAGTGTTTCAGTGAGTTCTTGAATCACTCCATGGGTGAAAATCACAGGGGGAGGTCTAAACCAGACCCATGTACACTGAATCTATTTTTAGCACCCAGACTCCTAATTTTGTCCTCCTTACTGATTAATTTTCTGATCTAACAACAGGAGCACCGGGGTGGGTGATACTGCCTGACCCCATTTTGACTCCCCTGTCTCAACATTTTTTTTTAAGTGTTAAAACATTTAATAAAATGAATTAAGGTAGTATTGATAATTGCTCTAAAACATCTTTATTGTTTGAGAGTTAATGAGAAGGGATTGAGTTGTAGAGTGTGATTAGATGTAAAAGTGCATGGTAATAGTCTTCATTATAGGATTTATTCTTTGAAATAGATAAATAAGCAAGGCTACCTAAATATTTATATTTAATAAATATTACTAATAAGCTTTCACTAAGTTGCTTTTTATTAATTTGGAAATTTTGATTTGAGAGAAACAAACATTCTCATTAAGCTAAAATCAGGTTTGTTGTTGAATTTGTTTATGTTAGATTCATTAACAAAAGTAGGTCCAATAATGAAGCTCTGAAACCTTCCATTGTCCAACCAGTTAAGTAAATCTTCATACTTGAGTTTTTTACTGGATAAATCACTGTGATTTTCCTAGGGCTTTTTGGTTTGGTTTGTTATATTTGAATAAATCTCTCTTGTAATGACTTTTTAAAGGGGGACATGTTTGTGTTGTGTGGTCTTTATTAATCAGGATTTTATTATTGTTATTTTCTGCTGTTTAATGAAGACTACTGGATAAAGCCTGGGGACCATGTAATGATGGATGTTTCTTGTCAAGATTGTTATTTAAGGATCCAGAATATCAGTGTCTTGGGTTTGGAACATAAAATGGATGTTGTGAAAAGTTTTTCCAAGACTGAAGAGTCATCTTCTGCGGGAAATGAAGCTGAACTCTGTAGTGCCCTAGCTAACCTTCAGACCAGCAAACCAGGCTCTGTAGAGCAGGTGTGTGTATTGGAATCTACGGAAATTGCTTTGCTTAATAACATCCCATATCATGAAGGCTTTAAAATGGCAATTAGGAAAGTGTTGGCTTCATTGACTCCAGAGAAACTGTTGCAGGCCATGGATACTCAAAGTGAAGAGATGAACTCCACAGGTGGGCAGAACGATAGATCTGTACAGAGTGCCCCTGACCCATACTATGTACTAGATGTGTCTGAAGGCTTCTCGATTCTGCCGATAATTGCTGGCACACTTGGACAGGTTAAACCTTACAGTTCTGTGGAAAAAGACCAACATCGCCTCACTCTCGACCTCATTTCTGAGGTGAATCACTTTCCTAAGGAAACACTTGAGTTTTGGCTGAGACACGTGGAGGATGAGTCTGCTATGCTGCAGAGGCCAAAGTCAGACAAGTTGTGGATCATAATCATATTGGATGTCATTGAACCATCTGGGCTTATACAGCAGGAAATTATGGAAAAAGCGGCAATATCCAGGTAAGGCACAAAATAGTAACTTTTTTTTTTTTAGCTCAAACCTTATTCATTCTTTTAGATCTTTAATGGCATAATGTAGAACTGAATCAGGATATTGTCCCTCAGCATTGCTCTCTAGGTCCTGTGAACGCATGGCTTTTCCTGTTTATGTGCTTATCCTTAGTGATTTCCCCCAAGCCAGACCTCCTTCATGGTAGATATTTTGGGGTTAATCTGCCAACATATAATAAGGGAAAAGTAGAGATCTTTAAGAACAGTTAAAAACTTAGGAGTAAGGAAAATTCAAATTCAATCTTATGATATAAGAAACACACAGACATAGCATGCTTACATGGTATGCTGCTGGGGTGAGCATGTCTGGCCTACGGGCCATATAAGACTCTTGAACCCATCAATAACAGATAACAACATCACACTCTTCATCGGAGATGAGCAATTCGAACCATCACATTAGGAATGAGTTAATTAAATGCTTGGCCAAATATAGCAGGCTAATTTTATTTTTTTAATTTTGTATGGCCCATGAATGATGTATAAATATCCAAATGGCCCTTTGCAGAAAAAAAAGGTTCCCCACCCTTTTTTGAAGCAAAGTGCTTTTTACAAACAGATTGTTGTAGCCTACAGTCTGTTCCCAGAAAAAAACCAACCCAGACCACCGAGAAGTTCAAAAGAAAAAGTTTTATTACCTGCGTAGGGACTGTCAGCCCTCTTGAGAGGAGACTGAGCAGTAGCCTAGTTTTCAAAGGATTTTAGACTTTTGCAATGTGCAGGTGTGCAAGCAAGCAGAGTACAGAAGCAGGATATTACGGTTAGCCGTTCTTCGTGAAACAGTGACTACTCTTAGCCTTCTGAGCATACATTTCCTTTGGTACAGTTCATTGCACTTGTCAGCACAGCTTGCCTCCCTAATATCAGCTAGTTCATTTATAGTTCATAATGGCTTCTTTAAGCTCAAAATGACTTCACTCTTGTTCAGTCTGTTTAAGCTTTTCCTAAAGCTGCTACAAGATCACAGTCTTATTCAATCTAAAAGTCTCTATTTTGTAAAACAATTTTCTTCCTAAAAAGCATTTTGCCTTCAGTTTAGATTGAGGTGAACTTGATTCTAATATTTAATAATAAAGCAAATTTGATTGAACCTTAAAGCCCATCAGTTACGCTATTCAGACCTGAAAAGGGGGCAATATTTTACACTAGCGGGTTTAAGGAAATGTACTATGAATTAAAATTTTGGGGGTATAGCAGTTAGTCTGTGAGGTTTAGAGAAACAAAATCAGTGACACTCATGTATGCATAAGAACTTTTTATCAAGGCATAATTTATATCAAGGGGTCCCAGCTCAGTTTTAATTAAAGTCCATCAGCATGATGCTGGCCAAAGCACTCTTCAGATTGACATAGCTGCACGCCGATGATGGAGAAACATGAAGCAGGATGCTGGAGGTCACAGGCTGGTGAGTACAAAGTCGGTGGATGCAAGGTCAGTGGGAAGACAGTAGGGGAGTAGCTCCTAGGCTTAGAGACACTTGCAAAGAAGGCTCTGAAAAGCTAAGCCCCACCAAGTGTCTTGAGTGCTCAGGACATTCTAAGGTGAAGAGACTTGCCTAGGGGGTTGTTGACAGATTGAAGGAAAAAAGGAAAAAAGAAACTCTTTGGAGTTTTGAATTTTGAACTAAAGGTTTTTGTCAGAAGATGGAAAAAATTTGAAAGCATGAAGAAAACTCCTGACTAGGACTGAACATTAAAGGGAGCCTGTGGGCAACATAAATGCTTGCTAGGTGACCATCTGGATCCTCTGTTGAATGGAAGTGGGAGAAATGCAGCAATAAAGACATGGATTGAGTCTGGCCATTAACACCCATGAACCTGGTTCACAGGGACTAAAGGAGAAGATTAGAGCTGTTGACTGGTCTGAGTTCATGACCTAGCTCAGGGGGTAGGGTTATTGAGAAACTTGTGATGGGGTCCATGGTCTAAAGGCAAGGCAGCCAATGGGCACCCTGGTGAGGTTAAGTGAGGCAGCCTACAATGAGATGACTAGAATCTGACCAAATGAAGAGAAGACTTTTGAGTCTGTGAACTGGTGCATATTGCTGCTGACTTTATGGACTGCCTGTTCTGATTTGACTTTACTTATGGATGCAGACTCACAAGGTTCCAACTGGAATGAAGATTCTTCACATGAAAGAATGATTGTCTCTTCAGAACACTGGGTTGATATAAGTGGGCAATAGAGATATTAGATACCCCAAATGGGGCACTTAAAGGCATTAAGTGGCTGGCTTACAAACTTTCATAGGTGGGGGAATATATTCATAGGATTAAGATGTAGTATTCATTTAACTGAAATTGTTAAGTATAGAATATTATGGTTAAATGACCTTTGGCACATATTGAGTTTTACACATTTTAGTTTTCTCCTGTTAGGTACAGATAATGATTTTATTATTTTTGTTAAAAATTATTTATGGCTAAAGAATTGTGTAAAAGTGTAAGGTTGACAAGGGGTAGTCTGTGGTAGTTACATAAAATCTAGTGTCAACTTGCAAAGGGGTGGAATCTAGCCTGTCAATCAGGTTGCTGCTTGATCTCATCTGGAGGTGCCACAGAGATAAATTACCCACCGTGGGCCAGATACATACAGACTCTGTGTTTGGTCTTCCTGCTGACAAGACACATGGGGCTGCTCTGAAAGTCAGCTTGAGCTTGAGGAGCCACATGGAGATCCCTGGCAGTGCTGAGCTGTTTCCACTACCACCGGATCCACAAGACTTTCCACCCACTGGCATTTGGCATCATTGCATGTGTTTCATAAGTCTGAAAATTATAGATTGGTGACAGACATATGCAGTAATATCGGACTTATGGACTTGATCTGGATTGGGCTGGGCTGTTTCCTCAATATTCAGTTGCTCTTGTATACATAGCTCTTTTTTATACACATGAGTGTCTATGAATTTCTCTAGTCAACTCAGACTAACACAGGGCTATATATCGTATTAGTTTGTGGTTCGTGGGTGTTCTTTATCCAGTCCTAAGCTTTCACATTTAGCTTCTTGTACCTATAGTTCCTATTTGGTTCAACCACTCGTAATCTTGAGTTCAACTAGATAGTCAAATTGATAGTCACATTCAGTACTGCCTTCCCTCTTTGTGGTACAGGACAAGTAACGACCTATTTTGAGCTATCTGGTAACTGTGTTTGGCTTGCTCCTCCTCCTTGGTTTCTTATCCACTCGTAATGAGTAAGCCCGTGGAGGGTGATACATTAAGACTGTATAAATGCCCTTTTAGCATCTAATGCCTGTTTCTAAAGACATATTTATCCAGCGGGTTAAGTTATTCTTCTGAAATACATCAGCAGTCACTTTCTGCTTGACTTGGGACGTTATTTGCTGTGGTTTACCATTCCAAATTACTCAGAGTTCAGTAGACTACTTGAATACAATCTGTAGCTCCCTAGTTCATCCTCTTATTTGCATTTATAAAATGTAGGCAGTCAAATATTCTTAAAATATTTTTTCTTTTTTGAGGTGTTTGCTACAATCTGGAGGCAAAATCTTCCCTCAGTATGTGGTGATGTTGGGGTTACTTGTGGAATCACAGGTACTGGTAGAAGAGAGTGCTGTCCAAGGAAAAGAACGTACCCTTGGCGTAAATGTAGCGCCTTTCATTAACCAGTTTCAAGTAAGTGTCTAGAACCAGTAGACTGTTTCCTTGTCTGCCTTTTCTCTTGTTCTGTCCAGTCACTGTGTTAGGTGGATTGGGATGATAGTTTTCTAGAGAAAAGGAATTGTAGTAAAACCCTCCTAAGGGTTAGAATATATGAGAAGTCTTGTCACATCTTTTGGATATATGGGGTATATCTCTTTTTCCTGTCTAACCTGGAAAGAGAGTTACCATGTACTTTTTTTTTTTTTTTAACCATGTACTCTTAAGAGGAAAATAGCAGGAAGATCAGGTTGTGTAATGAGGTGGGGGTGAATACATTAGGACATCAGTAGCATGTACAGTTAATCCTTGAACAACACAGTTTTAAACTGTGCAGGTCCCTATACATGCATTTATTTTTTAAAAGGCCATGTGATGCTAATCATTAGTCCATTTCACTAGTAAATTTTGTATCCCAATAAAAAGGGCTCTCTCATGATTTTCATAGTTTTTAGTGCAGCATCGTCCAGCTTGAATACCAGGGGACCATTTGAAGTTGTATTTAGTGATGCTAGAAGTGCTCTCAAGAAGCAACGTCATGACATTATAAGACAAAGTTGAGGGGAGGTAGGGGAAAAATGAAGACCTGATGCCGGGGGCTTAAGTGGAGAGCAAATGTTTTGAGAATGAGGGCAATGAATGTACAAATGTGCTTTACACAATTGATGTGTGTATGGATTGTGATGAGTCATTTGAGCCCCTAATAAAATGATTAAAAAACAATGTGCTCGGAGGGCAATGAATGCACAAATGTGCTTTACACAATTGATGTATGTATGTATGGATTGTGATAAGAGTTCTATGAGCCCCTAATAAAATGATTTTTTAAAAAAGTTGAATTGTTAGATATGTATATACCATAGATTGAGGTCCATAGCTGCAGTTGCCCACCATTTCAAGAGAACATGAATCCAGCAGTAAGGGCCATTATTTAAAAAAAAAAAAATCCAACCTAAAGCCAAGCTCAACGTCATAGAGTCAATTCTGACTCATGGCAACCCTGTAGGACAGGGTGGGATGACTCTGGGTTTCCAAAGATGTAACTCTCTACAAGAGTAACAAACCCTGTCTTATTCTTGGAGGGCCATGTAGTTTTTGAACTGCTGACCTTGCAGGTCACAGCTCAGTGTGTAACCACTGTGCCACCAGGGTTCCTGTTGTTGAAAAGAAAAGGGAATTCATGGTGTCATCACTGCAGCTAAAGCAGGAAGTGTGAAAACGTTGCACCTTTTGGTGAAGTTCCTTTTTATCTGGTATTGAAAATGCGGCTTTTACGTGGGTGTTTATACTTTATATACAAAGTATGTGTTAGCTGAGTAGTTTGTTTTTGGTAAAGCTTCCCATCAATAGTAGGGTAATTAAATTGAAAAGCCTTAAGTTCTATGTGGGTTTCCAACTGCAAAAGCGTTGGTGCTCCTACTGCCATGGCATTGAAGGGTTAACTGTAGATGGTATATAAAGCCATAGATTGGATGAATCCATCTTGAAGGTGTGGAGAAAAAGGGATGAACACTGAGCTTCAGAGAACTCAAAGAGGTTGGGGATAGAGAAGAAATTGGCAAGGATGACAGGCTAGGCAGAGAAATGAATCCAGTGGTGATAGCTTGGGGGGTGCGTGGAGCTGTGTAAAGATTTTTGTGCAGGTCCAGAGGGGCGCTATATCGGCGTCTAGAGCGTCTTCCAGTGACTGATATATGATAGGAATAAAAGGCCTAAGAATTCATGGAGCTGGTGTTGGGGTCATTTTGATTTTTAATGGGTAGAGGAGGTTAGATGCATTCAAGTGAGTGATGCCTTCAGGTGGTGAGATTGGATATAGAGGTAACCTATTTGATCATGAAAGTTAGCATTTGAGAAGGCTAAAAGTTAATAGAATATTTCCATTGGTCCTCAGATTGATGGAGCACTATTGCAGTGGTTATTTTTTTGGACAATATTTGGGGACTTAAAAAAATCATTTTATTGGGGGGTCTCATAACATTCCATACAAGCATATTTGTATATATGTTGCCATCATTATTTTTCTAACATTTACTTTGTATTTGAGCCCTTGGTATCAGCTTTTTCCCCCTCCCTTCCTACCGCCTCCCACCCTTGTGATCCTTTGATAAATTATAAATTGTTTTCATATCTTAGCCCGACCACTATCTCCCTTCACCCATGTTTCTGTTGCTCATCCCCCTGGGTGGTGGTGATTATGCATCAATCATTGTGATTGGTTCCCCCTTCTTCCCCTTTCCCCTCCACCTTTCCCCTATCTATCCTCCTTTTATCGCTACTCCCATTTCTGTTCCTGAGGGGTTTATCTGACGTGGATTCTCTGTGTTGTGAACTCTTATCTCTCTACCAGTTTACATGTTCCAGTCTAGTCAGAACTGAAAGGCAGGACTGGGAATCACTGTGTTAGTCTAGGTACATTAGAGAAACAAATCCACAGCAACTCATGTATAAGAGAGTTTTATAGAAAGGTTAAGTGCACAAGAAAACATCCCAACCCAGTGCTGCCCTAGCCCACAAGTCCAACGTTAACCCATATGTCCAACATTAACCAATCCACAAAGTCCTCCTCCATCTCACAAAACACACACTATGATGCCGACTGCAGGAGGAAAGCCGAATCAGTGACTATGTAAGCATCTCAGTGCTGGCAGGGGTCTCCACACGGCTGCTCCAGCACCCAGGGCTGCATAGGGGTAGGTCCAAGTAGCTTCTCCGGGATGTCTTGCAGGAAATGAACCTTGCTAGCTGAAGCAGGAACTGCCTAAGGCAGCTGCACCCTGGTCCGACCATCACAAAGCAAGAGATCCTAGAACTAGAAAGACAAGGCTCACTGAGCCATTTATCCCCCGGCCCTTCAATTAACTCAACATGTGTTTATCGGCCAGGTTGGCACAATACACTAACTCCAATCACGATAGTGGGGGGTGAGGAAGCCTCAAATAACCAAAGGAATGTTGTTTCATTGGTGCTATACTGCACCCTGGTTGACTCATCCCTTCCTTGTGACCCTTCTGTGAGGGGATGTCCCATTGTCTACAGAAGGGTTTTAGGTCTTTGCTTTGACCCACCTTGTTCTCAACAATATACTTTTTTTTTCTTTGGGGTCTTCTGGTGCCTGTTACCAGCTTCCTTCAACACCTCGTGGGCTTTGTTGCTTCTCTACTAGATGGCTGCTTGCTTAATCCTAAGCCTTTAAGACACCAAATGCTTTATCTTTTGATAGCTGGGCACCTGGGCACCATCAGCATTCCTCACATTTGCTTATGCATCCATTTTGTCTTTGTGTTGGAAAGGTGAGCATCACAGAATGCCAGGAACACAGTATTCTTGCATTGAGGAAGGGCTTGAGCAGAGGTGCAAAGTTCGTCCACCACAATGTATTGCCATATAAAAATATGTACATAGACCAATACCTCTATTTTATGGATTAATATATTTACATAAAGGCACATCTGTGTTTATACTTCTATCCACAGCTTCCTAGATTTTTCCTGTTTCTTTTCAGCTTCCTCCTGTACTTGGGGACTTATTCCAGATTGGTGTCCTGAGCATTGGTCTTTTTTAAAGTTCCTCAGATGATTTTAGTAGGTACTCAAGGCTAATAACAACTATCTTTTAGAAATAAGCTTACTTTCGAAGTTAAATCCACTATGATGATGTTTGGATTAATTTAGCATCCTTTCTTAAAAATTCAACAATACTATACTCTTTGCTTAGTTCATTCTCCACATCTAAGCAAGTGCTTAAACTTGCCTAAACTTTGTTGTTTGTTCTCCCTTTAACTGGATTAATGACAGTCCTTATGCTTTGAGGTTAATGTGGGAATTAATGGAGTAATAGATATAAAAAGCCCTGTATAATACTGAACCAAGAAAAAGCAAATACTTCCTAAGTGCTTGAATAAGCCTCAGAGTGGATAAAGATGAAAAGTTCTAACTTCCTCTAGGTACCGATACGTGTATTTTTGGACCTATCTTCACTGCCCTGTATTCCTTTAAGCAAGCCTGTGGAACTGTTAAGACTAGATTTAATGACTCCATATTTAAACACCTCCAGCAGAGAAGTAAAGGTAAGAACGTGCAAAGTGGTTAATTTTGTTATATCCAGAATAATTTCTTATACTAATTAATACTTAATATGTTTTAGCCAATTTCTTTGAAGATTAAATATTTCCAGGGGGAAAGAAAGGGGGAGGGCTTAAATAAATAGTAATATTGGTGGACATTGATTTGAATAAGTATATATCTTTCTGAAATCGTATATGTGAAATTGACTAAAATGAAGACTTAGTTATGCACGTTTCCATGATGTCTTAATTTCCACAGGTACACATTTGTAAATCTGGGAAAGTGACCGCCATTCCATTTTGGTATCACATGTACCTCGATGACGATATTAGGTTGGACACATCAAGTGAAACCTCCCACTGGAAGCAGGCTGCGGTGGTTTTAGAGAAGCCCATCCAGGTGGAAATGGGAGAGGAGCTTGTCCTCAACGTCCAGCACCACAAAAGTAACGTCAGCATTACTGTGATGCAGTGACTAGCTGTGTCATGAGAATCTGTCTAGGATAAGCAGCAAGTGAAAATTCTCCTGACTTCAGTCAATGAAGTTGTAATCATAAAATGGGGTATAAAAACTTAATCCCTTGTAATTACAAAAGTTTTAAAAAATGACATGAAAACTTAAAGGATCCTAAATGAAAATAAAAATATTGCTGTAAGAAGACATTTTAGACAATAATTATTTTTCAAATCAGGAGACTTTATTAATTTGTATTACCTGTTCTTACTGTAGATGAAATTTTGTTAACACTTGGCTGAACACTCTAAAGCTAAAGAGAAGGGTTTCTAGCGTTTTCCCTCATTATTGCAACACTTTCATTTTTTCAGGTGTCTGGCAAATTTGTAATTTGAAATACCCAAAAGTAGCCTTCCATTGCCCAAAGGATATGGTTATTTGTAAATTTCAAGCTTGCTTCCTGTATTCAGATCTCTGATTTTGTTTGGGAAATACCAACTTGAAATAAGACTTTAATTTTAAACTATAAGCTAAATGGAATAGAGAGTTAAGAAGTCTGCTTTAGCCAAGAAAATTAATAAGTTGATCATAAAACAAAATTTAAAAGTTTATTTAATGCATTAGGGGAATGAAATTGTCTAATTTTTACAGACTTTTGAAGTGGTAATAAAATGCGTATGCCTTGTATATACAGTGGCATTTTAAGCAGGGCACAATAAAGCAGGAGTCCTCTCTTCCTTCCACTAGTCCTAACCTCCGGAAGTTACTTAGCTTTATTTTCAACAGAAATGTTTGGTCTCCCATGAACACAATAAAGACTTTGTACTTTAGTGTGAATCAGTATGTACATATGTGTTTGTATGTATAAATATACGAAGCAAAGGGTTTTGAGAAGCAATATGCACCCTTGCTATTTGTGACAATTTCTTTTTTCATTGTAAAATCAGAAACACAATCCAGTTATTGGCAATGAAAGAAGCAACATCCTAAACAATAATTGTCTCCTAAATACCACCTATTTGTCTTCTGGCTGTGGATCATTATAAAATCAGAAACACAATCCAGTTATTGGCAATGAAAGAAGCAACATCCTAAACAATAATTGTCTCCTAAATACCACCTATTTGTCTTCTGCTGTGGATTAGTAATCATGAAAACTTAACAAGAACACTGAGCCAAGATTGGTGTTTGCTGTCATCTTTTAATAGCACCAAGTAAAAGTAGACTACATTTCCATCATAAGTTTCTTATTTATTTGGTCATCTACCCAGTTTATTCTTTAATCTCAAAGCTATGGATAACCTATTAGCCATGTTCCAAATACCACTTTTAGATACTTCCATGTTATACGGTGAATAAGATTACTTCCTAGACATTTCTCCTAATAAGAATGTAAGCTAAGATACATTTCATGAGCTCCTAGATATTTTTCGTTATGGGAACTGCAGGGAGGCATGAAAACAGGATGACGACAGCTTACGTAACTGCCGAGTCATTTTGAATCGTGGCCCAGCCAAGTTGCTTCTCATCTCAGCACTCATTAGTACCGGACATAGGTGGAAAATCACCCGGTTTATTTTACTAATGTTGTAAGTTGAACTATCAGACAAGATAGTAGGTAAGCGAAGAGTCAGTGTGGTTCTGTAACTTGTGCAGTGCCCCACTCCCTTTTCCTAAACTTTTTTTTATTACTAATCTGGAAATTTTGGTTGAAACATTAAGGGCGTATGTTTTAAAGAATGAGAGACATAAAATGTTGCGAAAATAAATGATAAATTCTTATTTATTGAAAGACATCCAGTTGAGAAGTAGAGAAATAATTGTTAGCTTATATGGCACATGATGAAGTCCCACTAACTCATGTTTGGGAATTATGCTTTCTGTTATTCCAAAGCACTGAATTCATGCAGCAGTGGTAGAAAGCTTGGTTTTTTTTTTTTAAATGTCCATCTGCTTGATGAAGCGATGTTAACACCAGGAATATTTAATTGGAGTCATTTTCTACCATGTGAGTATGTGATATTCTATTATAAAACAAAGACTAAGTCTAGGAAATTTAGACTAACATATAAAACATAATTATTTATGTTCAATAGTTGTACTTGGCTTTCACCTATCTTCATGTTGAAATTTTCCATCATTTATGGCTTGTCCCAAGCACAAACTCCTGAGCAACGGGATACCAGGTAATGGAATCGCATGGTAACAGCACAGCTTGCTTGTGCACACAGTTCAAGAGGCCACAGATTTATCCGGAAGTTCCTTTTTCTCTCCTGTGGAGTCATTAAACATCTCATCGGGTACCTTAGCTGCAGTAGGGGTAGTCTGAGGGGTCACAGTGTGTCCAAATCCTTGGTAGTGACCCATGGGTGAAGATGGCATGGACGAAGCAACTGAAATGGCATCCTGTGATGACGACGATAATAAGCTTGTATGTTCGTTTTGATCTTGATCCTCAGGGAAAAATTTTTTCCTAGGATGCCCCATGACTGTCCTTCCTTTAAGGTAATAGAAAAGTTTCCATATTAGCCACGAAAAATGTTTACCATTAAAAACACACTTCTATAAATAAGCGCCTCCATCTCCAACCCCAATTTGAAGAGCCTGTGGCGCAGTGGTTACCTGTTGGATTGATTACTAACCACAAGGCCGGCAGCTCAAAACCACCAGCCACTTCATGGGAGAAAGGTGAGGCCTTTTATTCCCATAAAGCGTTCGAGCCTCGGGAATCCCGAGGCAGCCCTGCCCTGTGCTGTAGAGTTGCTGTGAGTCAGAATCAACACGATGGCAATGAAAGACGGCTTTAGAGTCCTTCCAGTAACTAAAATGAGTATTAAAAATAAATCACCTACACATTTAAAAGAATTAAATGGTTGGTACTTACCAACGTGTCTTACTTGTTCAGAAATATCATCTCTAATATCTGAGACATCCCACATGGCAAGAAAAGAATCAAAGCACGAGCCTTCCTCTGCTTCCTGGACGTAGGGTTTGTACGAGAAGGTGTAGTGATGCGCAATAGCAGCGAGGAACATCTCGATGCAGATGATGAAGTCCTACAACAACAAGCAGCATCGCTGGCTTGCACCTAGAGTGCTAAGTACAGGGAGCGCGCTCTCTATCCGTTTCAATGAACACCAACAGCTTGGTTTCCAGAAAGAAATATATATATATTTTCACTTTCTCAGTTATTTACCCCAAGTGAGTAACTTTGATGTATGGAGGAATCGGAGGAAAGACAAGATAGCGAGACTAGAGCTAGATGACCTCTATCATAAAAGCCCAAACCAGGCGTTCTCAACGCACTGCCGAGGACTGCCAGGAGAGATGCAGAAACAGGGACTGAGGAATAATAAAATTCAGGTTCCATTCCACTACTGGCTCTGCTACAAATTGTTAGGATCAATTGCTCCAGGTTTCAAGTTTCCTCCTCTATCAAATAAGGGTGTTAGTCCCACCGCCCTCATGCCAGGGTTGGTGTTGGTAATGTAGCAGTCAAGTTGAAGAGTTCAGAAAGCACTACTTACCTGGAGTCCTGTAGCCACAGCTTCCACAGTTTGCCATTCCCAAGTATGTTTTTCAGAAATAACGCCAACTTTTACCAACAAAGCAATAACTACTGCTTGCCTATATGTTAGGAAAAGGTAAACGCCAAATCTATATCAAGCATAAAATGAGCAGTTGTTTTACAAATATGCCATTTTAAGTAGTTAAGCCCCACTGCGAGCTGTGGGCCACCACCACCACCACCACCACCCTGCCTTCACAGCATTTAAAGTTGACACATTTTCCATTAGGAGACATGGGGATATTCATTAGCTCTCAGATGAACTTTCCTAGGGCAGTTTCGTTTTTTATTGCTCATTTTATTAGGGGCTCGTACAGCTCTGATCATAATCCACATATACATCTGTTGTGTCAAGCACATTTGTACATATGTTGCCATCATTTTCAAAATATTTTCTACTTGAGTCTAGGGCAATTTGTGAGATAAATTTTGATGATATATTTTAACAGCATCTTTTTCTGCTTTGAAAATATGTACAAATAAAGTTTTTCCTATACAGAGACACAACCTAACAAAATGAACTAAAGGACTGATACTCAAATGTTTATTATGTAAGTTATTACTCAGCATTCTTAAAGGCAACTATTTTGAAACCAGCCTTTTTTGAAGTACTGAATCTAGAGACAGACAAGAAAAGGTCAAATTCTATGATGTGGAGTCATATAGAAACATTTTAAGCAAATCTAGGGAAATAATTAAAACTGAACAATGACACGCTTCAGAATTCCGTATTCAAGAAAATTCCGCGTTGCTTATAATGATGAAAATTTTAGGAATAACCTAAGTGACAATAGTAGATTGGTTACAATGTTACATCCACACAATAGAGAACGTTAAACAAAAAACCGTTAATTATGTTCTCTTTATACTGAATATATAGGGGCTATATTGTTGAGCTACGAAAGTTTTATAGTGTGAAACCATTTTGTAGATTTTGCTTAAGGTGCTTGCATGGAAACGCTATTCTTCGTGGGTCAGATTTCAGAAATTTTTCTTTTCTTGTATTACTGATTTTTGATAAATGTGTTCTATTTGTTTCTAGTGCTCCCACTCCTTTACAAAGACCACATACAGTTTTGTTTCTGTTTTGAAAGAATACAGTCGACCAGAACCCAGAAGGGCTAAAGCAGTGGTTCTCAACCTGTGATTGCAACCTCTTTGGGGGTCGAACAGCCCTTTCACAGAAGTTGCCTAAGACCATCGGAAAACACATAAATATTTAACAATATATAATTACATGTTGTTTTGTGATTAATCACTATGCTTTAATTATGTTCAATTTATAACAATGAAAATATTTCCTGCATATCAGGTATTTACATTATGATTCACAACAGTAGCAAAATTAGTTATGAAGTAGCAACAAAAATAATTGCATGGTTGGGGATCACCACAACATGAGCTGTATTAAAGGGTCATGGCATTAGGAAGGTTGAGAACCACTGGGCTAAAGGGTTACATTTTTTTAAAGGCAGGCAGACATTTTGGAACAGCTGGCTAGTACGAAGGGTTAATGCACTCTGCTGTTAACAGGAAGGCTGATGGTTTGATCCAACAAGTCAGACCAGCAAACTGGCTCCAAAACCTATAGTGCAAACCCTGTGGTGGAGCTCCATTGAGGAGGAGCGCAGCTCTTACTCTAGTGTACATGCGGTTGCTGTAGAGTTCATCAATAGAAACTGAGTTGTAGAGACATTAATGACTTTGAAACGCCTCCCTACTAAACAGTTGTATTGCATGTTAAAAAATGAGAATACTTGAGAGCAACACTCACCAAAAAGAAACAAAAACGACGAGCTTTACACAGAGAAATTTGCCGACAGGTTGGATGGGACTCAGCTCTTCCTTCAGCACTTTATAAAACAGCAGCAGACAATACATGGCAAACTAGAAGCAAACAAGATGAGCATTTAATTTCTGTCAACAATAATGTGGTACTAGACATAAACGATTATACAGCAATGTAAAATTTTCCTTAGGCCTTCTGAAATGCTATTTAGATTAGCAATGAACATGTGTGTACTACAGATGAATATATATACTATATGAAATTTTTTCAGTAGAGATGTTTTATAACATATTAATACTTCCCTAAAAATGTTTTTAAGTGTTCACTTACAATGGCCAAATAAATTAATGATTGATGTTGATGTTAATGGAAGAAAAGGCTTTTCATTCAACCAAATTTAAAATCTATCTGCTTAGTAATTATCACTGGTTTTACCAAGGTGTAAGCTTATTAATGTACCTGTCCTACATAATATTACATAACACTAAATATGAATTTCAATAAAATTATGACCATGAAATCTGAAAGAATTGGGAATATTTTTTCTTTTTTTTTAAATCATTTTATTAGGGGCTCATACAACTCTTATCACAATCCATACATACATCAATTGTGTAAAGCACATTTGTACATTCATTGCCCTCATCATTCTCAAAACATTTGCTCTCCACTTAAGCCCCTGGCATCAGCTCCTCATTTCCCCCCCTCCCTCTCCCCTCCCCTACTGGAAATATTTTCTTAAAAGGCAGTATGAATTTATTTTCTATATTAAATGCTTATGAGATAAATTACTTTGAGAAATCACTTTTAGAAATAACCTGGTATAGTGCTGACTAGCAGTGAGCATTTTTCTATGCTTATTTTATTCCATTAAAATGTAAAATGCTCATTTACATTACTTTAGAATATGAAGATAGGGAGGATAGTTATTCCTACTCCCCATCATTCAATTATTTTCTATACATTTACTGTTCTAGATTTAATAGCTATCACTATATCAACTACATGATGATTTTATTGCCCGATAATTATGTATTTATACTTAATATTCCGCACTGTTTCCTATGTTTCATAAGAATTATTTTTAATTTTAAATAATAGTATGGCATTTTGACCAGAATATACTTAACCTGTCTCATCACTGAGCTTTTAGGATACTTTTGGAAGCTTTTGTTATTAGAAAAAATACAGGTTTTGTATACAACGATATTCAGTTCCAGAAATGGAATTACTGGTTCCAAAGAGTATTACTATGTGTGGAAGTGTTATAAAGCTTAATACCAAGTGTGTATGCAATTACACCTAACTAATATTTTAATATCATTAAAGTTTTTAAAGAGAAAAAAAAGCAAATTCTTTTAGGATCAGATACCTCTAGAGAATTTCAGTTTGCATACCTTTTATTAAAGACCTTGGCATTCTCAATTTTTCTTTAATTCCTAATGATGGCAGAGAAATTTATTTTTATTCAAACCTTGTAACTGTTACATACCTAAGATAGGGCTTTCTCTCTGTTCTGTACTGTTTTTATTTATGACATACCCACACAGCAGGGGGCCAGTGAGGACCAGAAACAAGAATGACTAACAGGTCAAGGTAAGTCACCAAGGCAAACTGGATTCCACCATGGATATAGAAGGGAATGAGTCCCTGGGTCTGAGGGCTCATGACCAGTTATCAGGGACACTAAGGGTCAAATGGTTTAATCCTACTTTGGTGAGGGGTAGCTGGGGTTTAAAAGCTTCTGAGTGGTCTCTTTCCACTTGCGAGGGTTGGGGGGAGGATCAATATGACGAAGTCCAGGAAGGAAAAGAATATTTGGAAACTGGTAGCAATTGTACAATACTGCATGATGTGATTGAACTATGGAATGACATGTATTAACTCCTAATTAATGAGAAAGTCAAAGAGGCAAGGAAACAATCAGTCCAAAGGGATAATGAGCCACAGGAACCCCAGCATCCACAAGCATGTTGTCTAAAGAGCACGGCTACCACTGACTGTTTGGAAAGTCACAAAGGGGTCCTCGGTAAGACGAGAGAAATGTGGAAAAGAACTCAAAATCATTGATGTGATTAGAAATGGAAACTGGTGGAAATGCCAATACTCCGGCCCTTAGACATCCTGTACGCCTGGAAACAGTCACCCCTGTAGCTCAGCTTTCAGCCAAACAATCGGCCTATTAAGTGAATACTATCCCTGGGAAGGCACATACACATTCGAACGATCAACCACAGGATGTCAGAAGGACATGTGTGTGTCCCCAGAGACAGGGCCTAGAGATGGGGGCACAGGAAAGAAAGGCACAGGGCAAAAGTGGGCCGAGTTGTTACACCGTGAGGATTACAATCAATTTCACAAAACAAAGGTGTATGAATTGGTGGGTAGAAAACCAATTTATACTCACTCAAATCATAATTTTAAAAAAAGGTTTTTAAATATCAAATAGTTAAAGACATTATGTCTTTATATACAACAGGACTTTAAAAAGGGTTGTGGGAAAACTCCATTATCTTTTCATTTTCTATTTCCATGAACTTTATTGAAGCCACCTCACATTTATAAAGATAAAAGGTTTTATCAAATTCTTCCTGTGATTTAATTTCAAGATTACAAAATTAAAATTTATTACAAAGATTTTCAATAAGAAAATGCAGTTACTTGTACTAATTTAAAATGTAAGAAATTTAAGAAAAATTAATACTCACCAATTGTGACATATTATTTATTATAACCAAGTAAGTCCAAGCATTTGAAAAGCTAAAGTTTCCTTCATCGTATACATCAAGCAGCTCACAGATTCTAAACAAAAAAATGAAGCAATTAGACAACTTTGGTTGTTGTATGCTGCTGAGCACGGCAAGCCTATGCGGCAAAGCAGGCCTGCCTCAGAGGGTGGGTTTCTGATGCTGAATCTTTACAGGCGCAGATTGACAAGTCTATTCACCTGTGTGATTTCGAACTGCCAACCTTTTGGCTAGCAGTCAGGTGCTTAGCCACTGCATCACCAAAGCTCCTTAACTTTATAATTAACCAAATCAAAATGAGTTTTAGAATATAGCATGGTCCAAGATCAAACACACTGTTGTCAAGTGGATTCTGACTCAAAGCGATCCCTAAATGGCAGTAGTGCTGCTCTCTGGGGTTTCCGAGAGAGTAAACCTTTATGGGAACAGATAGCCTCATCTTTCTCCCAACGTTAAATTGGTGGGTTTGAACCACAGACGTTGTAGGATGCAGTCAGGGCTCATTGCATGGACTCAACTCACTACCGTGGAGTCAATGCTGACTCATAGCAACCCCCGTGGGTTTCCAAGACTGTAACGGTTTACGGGAGTAGAAGGTCCAATCTTTCTCCCATGGAGCTGCTGGTGACTTTGAACTACTGACCATGCAGATTGCGGCCCAGTGCTTAACCACTACACCACCACAGCAATACTTAAAAGTTAAGACATAGTTCATTGTTCCTTTGGTGGCCACCTGATTTGAGTCACAGAGCAGATTAAAAAATTACTAAAATGTTTTCCCCCCTAAAAATGGGTAATTAGTATAGTTTTAAAAATTATGCTGCCTAATTTTCAAAAGCTCAAATTCTACAAACAGATCATACAAGTCTATAACTACAGCTGCATTTTCCCCCTTAACTTTTTGTTGGAGATAAATTTTACAATGATCCAGATGTACTTAAGTAGATTATACCTTAGTATCAATTCACATGTTTACCCAGTTTTTAAAGTGCAGAAATAGAAAGCATGCTTTCAATAAAGAAGTGAATTAGTCTTTGTTCTAAGGGCAAATAGTTGCTAATTCTAAGGATAACTTATTTGGCAACTTAAAGCATCAAGAACTGAAGGCTTCCTTGTCTTTTCCCTTCTTGCTTTGTGGACACAGAGCACCGTGGTTATGATTGACTAAGAGACGAAGTATGCAACCGACTTGCTTTATATCATTTGATGTTCTTGAGCTTTTAGGAAAGTTTTGCTTTAATGATACCCCACCATTTTACTTCAAGTTCCAAGATTTGATGGGAGTTTTTAAAAAGAAAAAAGATGACTTCTTTATTGAACAGTGCTCATATTACAAATAAAATTATGTACTTCACTACAGTAGCATTCTTGAACTTCATGAAACAGATGTTTCTATAAAGCTGTGTGAACATTAGCATTTGAACATTTTAGGCTCTAGGAAGGTTATGTTACTCAGAAGACTCCTGCGGTGATTCTTTGCTGTGAATGGTCACCTTATTTGAAGACAGCAGGAGATCTATATAGTGTACTTTTCTATGGTAGAAAAGACCTGCATCGTGGAAAGGTAAATTATGCTCTTTATGTTTTCCTACTCAGATGTTGCAACATAAAAAATAACAGCGTGAGGATTTTTTTAAATGGCCATTTGAATTCTGTATACTTACAAAGCAACGATGGTGGTGAATGGTCTGACAACCGTATACTGTAATACACCCAGTTTGCATCTAAATAGCAGTACTCTGAAGAAGAAAAGGCACTTAGAATTCCAAAGACTCATCTACACAGCATTGTTTTCTCTACAACTTTCAACTTAAGGCCAGTTTGCAGATGATGTCATTATTAAGTACAAGTCTTAGAATTGAGTCATTCTGAATGTCAGTCAGGGACAAATGCGGAGAGGAGCAAATCAGTGATCTAAATACAGTTTTTGCCATTTTCTGTTTTATTTACTAAACATGGTAATAAGTCTGAGTATCTATTTTAGCAACAAGAGCTCCTAAAAGGCCCTCCCTTTGTATAATCTCAAGTTTCTGAAGTGTAGCACAGAGCAAAAATGAAAGCAGATGCATGTGTAATTCGGAAAGAAAAGTGAGACGCAAACAAAGTACGAATGATCTGGTGTACGTGAATATATGTACGTATTTAGAAAATATTACTTACATTTAGGAGGCTGCTTTAAGTTTAGTGTTTAAATATCATTCTAGGGAGTCTCATGGACGAGAAACTCAGAATGGACAAAGCAAAGATCCTGCATAAAAAGTGTTGGCTCTCTTACGGGGCTCCCTCAGTGTGGGGAAAGATTCACAAAAGAAAAACAAAGCCAGCAAAGGACAACTAAAAAAAAAAAGTCTTGTGAGCCTGTATAAGCCCACTTTAAAAAGCCAAAATTAAAAGAAAAAAGCTCAAATTCTCTGGGGGACAAATGTCTGGTAGTGCACTGTTTAAGCACTTTCCTGCAAACTGCAATGTTGGCTGTCCAAAGCCACCAGCCTCTCTGTAAAAGGAAGATGTGCAGTCTGCTTCCATTTGGAGCAGTTTACTCTTCCTCACAGGGTCACTTCTGACTCAGTGGCAACAGGCTTTTGTTTTAACCGTAGCACTCGTTATCTGTGCTCTATATTATGCATGTCCTAAGTTAAAGACTCCACCGCGTCTGAGAGTATTGGGGGACTGGCCTTCATCTCTTGAACACATATTATTGCATTACCTGGACTTAATAAACTTTTAGGCTCTCTGTACTAAAGTGGTTCACTCCCAAATCAGCCTCTAAGTATATATATACTGTTGATGGTGATACCTAGAAGTTGTGCTTAGGCTTGTTGCAGGGGCCCTTGATAAGAAAGCATTGGCTATATAAATGCTGTCCTTCCTGTCCCACACTCTTCATAGAGCTAAGTGGGAGCTGGGTTAGACCTACAGTATTTTATGAGATGACTGTTAATCTGAGCCTCAGTTACATCAATTGAAACAAAAAGAAACCACCAATCCTACTGCCAGCGAGTCAATTCTGACTCATAGTTAGCCTGTACACATTTTTGAGGCTGTAAATCTTTATCGGAGTAGACAACCTCATCATTTGCCCACAGAGAAGCCAGTTCATTTGAACCACTGCTTTAAGGTTAGCAGGCCAATGTTTATCAGAGAGGACCACTAGAGTCCCTCCCTAAAGAGCCAATTAGATACCTTTAACAGCTGTGGAATGTTATTGAGCTGGAAGCTACACCTGAAGAAATTGAACAGAATGTGGCAAAGGCTGGAACAATGAATCAGGAATATGAGGGCTACAATGAGTAGGTTTTATAACATATAGGTCTAAAATATTTTTAGAAGTCTAAAATTCAGAAGAGGGAACAGAGCAAAGGTGAACTGAGGAGGTAATGAAAGGCAGAGGGACACTGTCAACCAAGCAGAACTAAAAATACAAAAAGCCCCGACTTGGTTTTTCCAACACCGATAACGTGTGTGTTGTTAAGTGCTGTCAAAGTCAGATCTGACTCAGACCTTTATGAAGTTCCTTATATAAAAGGCAAACTAGCTGATGTTACTGGAATAAATATTGTATTTACTGGAATAAATATTGCTATTTTTTTGCTCCTATTTCATATCTTACATGTTTCTTCACTTAAACTCCCTCTTCCCAGTGTCTTAAGAGATCAGGTTTTGCCATGAGCTAGTAAGTCTTAGATAAATTAATCTCTTCACATGATTGCTTTGTCTTGCAATACTTTTCTAGGTAAAATGAGTAATGCAGAGGTGGCAAACTGATATGTGTAGATTATAAAACTTATTTTGTTGGCAAGGGCAGGCACATATTACATACTGTTTTTTCCTGTTCCTTAACATGCATGCTGCCTTATAGGCATTAGACCGAAACTTAAAACTCTGCTTCAGTAAAACGAAACATTAACACAATTCAAAAGAAACATACTTACTCTCCCATAGACCACGGTGGACAGCAACATAAAGGAGGGAAATGTTTCTGTTGATCTTTGGCTTCAAGGATTAAGACCAGATTTGGATACCGAGTAGTGAGATAATTGGTAAGGAATCCCATAAAATTGTAAATAACATAAGCTTCATAGCATTCTCTGCAAGTATCCACATAGATTGCAATGCTGGGATACTTCAAGGCTACCCACTACGAAAAAGCACAGATGTTAAAAGTAGTTGCTTTAAAAAAAAAAAAAGTAGTTGCTTTTAACATGTTAAAAGTCGTACGACGAAATAACCATCTCAAATCAGGGAACTAATGTGCAAATGTGAGATGTCTTGGGCTACCAGGTAATTTGCGAAATGAATTTTCAAAAGCAAGAAAAAGCTCAGATACTGGGAAACCAAAAGGTGTGTATGTGTTTAGCTAAATGTGGAGGGCCTACATTAAGTACTTGAGTTCTTAAATCTGAAATTTATCTTGACTAAGTCGTAGGAAATGGTACCAAGGACTTTTCTTTTCTATGTACTCCAATTAGGACCACTGTCTGTAAGCAATGCATAAGGGAATTCAATGGGGAAGGCACTTTTGGTGGTCATTCAAATATAAGATTTAATTTTTAAAAAGGTGAATATAGCTTTAAGTTACACTCTTTTTTAAAAAGTTACTCTCAAAAGGATTAAGAGTTACTGAAAATTTTAAAAACTTACAACTAATTTTTAAAAAACGACACTTTTGTACTTCCTATTGTTATACTCATTCTTCTCTATTCACATGCAAAACAATTACTTTTTCACTTTTGCATTAATCTGATGCATCACCAAGCACTTTCATTACCTTAAGCATTGAGTATATAGTTAGTATCATCAAAGAAGTCCTTTGTGGATGAGATAAAATGACACATACTTACACTATCTAGACTGTATATGGGTACCATCCAAAGTATCCTGTGAGAAAAGCAAAAAGCAAACGCATTTTATGAGGTCCGCGAGTCAATATAACATTAGTAGACCCAAATATATTAAAGTTTACCTTATTATTGGTTTCTGTAGTTCAGGTTGCGTATAATGCACTAAGTGTTGCAATATCACCCAGAGAGATATAGGTATAGTCAATAGCAGAAAGATTCCAGCAATAAACCAAGCCTTAGTGTGTATCCCAACCTTAAGAAGCAAAAGAACACATTAGCATATTGTTATGAAAACCAAGTGCTAAATATATTTCTTAGATTACTAGGGCAGTTCAATACGTTCCACCTGACTAGTAGCTGTTTTATTTCTTCTTCAATAGATAATCTCTTTGTGCTTTTTTTGGAGGGAAGGAGACATATGTTTCTCCATGGGTTTTAAGAACATTAGTATCATGTCAGGCATTCTCCTCCGTTGCCAGCCGCCTTTGGAAAATTTGGCTGTAATGTTTAGGGATGCACAGAAGTTCTCAGGTCTTCTACAAGCCACGTCTCAAAGTCCTTCCGGTTTTTCCTTGGCTTTGCTGCCTGCCAAGCTAAACCTCCACCTACATTTTCTTCAAGTTTTACGGTTAAGTTTAGAAGATAAAAGAAGAAAAATGGCAAAACCTGTTATGGTCTTTATTATCTTCAGGGGGAGTCAATAGCCAGAGCCATGCCGTGGACACACCGTATGCTGTCACAAGAATCCTTCTAATCCGCAGCAACCAGTAAACTCTGCTCTTACTGGTGAAAATTGCCAAAACTATACTAAGCTAATGAACATGACTCCAGCCAATAAAGCTTTATTTACAAACTGTAGGCCTGTTTGCTGATCCCTCCAGTACACCGGTGCTGTGTGCCATGTCAATTCTGACGCAGAGCAAGGCTGTGGGGCAGAAGGGAACTGCTCCACTGGGTTTTATTGGCTGTAGTCTCTACAGGAAGTAGATACGCAGGTCTTTTCTCCTGAGGGTTCAAACTGCTGACCTTTCAGTTAGCGGCCAGGGCTCCCTTCTAATACACCAAACCCACTGCTGTTGAGTAGATTCCAACTCATAACAACGCTGTACTGAATAACTTCCCCATAGTGTTTCCAAGGTTGCAATTACTCTTGGCCAATGCAGACTGCCACATCCTGCTCCTCCAGTGGTTGCTTTCAAAAACGCCCGCCTTCTGGTTCGAAGTCAGCTGCTTTAGACATTGCCCTACCAGGGCACCTTTCAAACACACTACTGGTTTTCAACTGGGGGCCACTCAGCTCAAGCCTACAGAAGCTCTAGAACTTCCACTGTGGCTTTGACCAGTATAGCTCAAAAACAACTATTCCAGACTGAGTAGGAATACCTTTGGTTCTAACTGGAGAGTGGGGTAAAGCGATATGAAAAGCCTTCCATAAAATGCAAGATAATGAAGTGATCACTGAAGATATGGCTGCTATACTAAAGTGTAGTGAAGAAATCAGATGGTGCCAGTTATTAGATAGAATAGCATCTGTGAACTGATTACAAGGATCTACGTATAACTTCCTCCCTGGGGATGGACAACAGAAAAGTGGGTGAGGGGAGACATCGGACAGTGTAAGATATGACAAAATAACAATAATTTGTAAATTATCAAGGGTTCATGAGGGAAGGGGGAGAGGGGAGGGAGGGGAAAAATGAGGCGCTGATACCAAGGGCTCAAGCAGAAAGCAATGTTTTGAGAATGATGATGGCAACAAATGTACAAATGTGCTTGACACAAGGGATGGATATATGGATTGTGATAAGAGTTGTAGGAGCCCCCAATAAAATGATTTAAAAAAAAAAATGGAATAGCATCTGTGGTCTTGAAGGCTTGAGTTGAAACAGCCATCTAAGTGAGGCGCCAGTTGTCTGGACATGGAAGGAACACATCAGCCCATGTGATCCAAGGATTATATATAACAAAATCCAAGACCAAAAGAGGGAATTGTTTTAGAGTTTACATTCGGAGCACTCAGTATGCACAAGGCTACAGATGACAGTGAAAGCCCGAAATCCATTTTCAGAGTCCTCACATAGATGTAATCTCCATTGAACACTCTTGGACCACTGACCAGGGATGTAATTAGTATTTATGTGGATTACTGCAGATAGTTAGGTTAAATTTTAACATTTTACTATTTGTTTTCCTTATTGCTCCATTTTTAATTTGTTCTAGTTTCTATTATCTTCAGCTTTCTTTTGGGTTGACGTTTCTTGGTGTTTTATTTTGTTGTTGCTGATGGGGTTTGTTTTTTGTTTTGGCGTGATTTTTTTCATATGAAATCTGGGTGAGTAAATCTATGGAGACAGTAGCTAAATTAATAGCACCTTAGGTAGGTGGTGCAAATAGCAAACAATGCTTTTGGCTGTCAATTGAAAGCATGCTAGGTGGATGCCACCTGGAGGCACCTCAGAAGAAAGGCCTGGCAGTCTGTTTCAGCCATTGACTATTTAGTGGCACACTGTTCTACTCGGACACACACATGAGGTTGTGTGTCAATTCAACACAAACGACATGTATCTCTGAAGATAAAATCCCTGGTTGCCTAGTGGGTACTAGTTGGACTGTGGTCCGCATAGTTACTACTTCAAAATCATGAGTAGGCACTCTGTGGGAGAAAGAGAAGGCTTTCTACTCCTGTACAGAGCGACAGTTCCAGAAACTCACGGGGGCAGTTCTACCCTGTCTTACAGGGTCCGCATGCGTTGGTATAGACTCAATGGCAGTGAGTGAATAGGAGGGAAAAGGAAGGGCAGAAAGACTGAGGAAGGATTTCTATTTATTTTAAATCTTTTGCACTATGTATAGCGATTACACTGGATATACACTGCCAATTAATAAAACAGAATTTTAAAAAGAAAAAAAAATAGCACCTTAGGATTATGACAAGGGAATTTGGGCGGGGTGGGGGTGGGTGGGGGTGGGGCAGGGAGGAGGGGTGGGGCAGGATGGAGAGCTAATAATAATGGATACAACAACAAAGAAAATGATGTAAAATTGATTGTGGTGATTGTACAGTTCCTTTAAATATATCCAAGCTACTGAATTTTATAGTACATAAATTATATATAAGTAAAATGGTTAAAAAAATATGCAGGATGAAAGATTATTTTAAAGTATGGTTCAGCTCATAAGATAAATAAAGGGAAGGGTGGTAGCGTAAGCTATAGATTCCAGTAGCAACTAAGAACCAGGGAACATGGACAAATGCAATGGCTGCCTGGGAAGCTGTTACTCACTGCAATCTAGGGACAGGGTTTGAAGGAAAAGAAGAGAAGGCTCTGGGCCCTGATGATTCACATTTTGGAAATGAAACTATTAGGATCCTCAAAGCGCTGCACTCTTGGTGAAAGGGTAGAACTGAAAAACCGACCTACCAGCAAGATAACGAAGAAACCTGGTGTGGCAGTTACACAATCTCCTGTCAACTTGAGCGAAGGGGTGGAGTCTAGCCTGTCAATCAGGTAATGGCCAAGGAGGCCTCTGTGTGGGCATGGCCTTCTGAGGATTCTGGGAACTTCTGTCTTCCTCCCAGGAGGTGGACACACACTCCCTCTGAGACATTCCTGTTGACAAGCCAAATGAAGCTAAGCTGATGGAGCAGGAGCCCTGTGAAGACACACCAGCGCTGAGATGCTTCCACCGCCACTGGATTCACAAGACTGTCTACCCGCTGGCCTGTGATCTTCTTGCATTCAGCATCACTGCATGTGTTGCATGAGTCTGAAGAGGGATTTATAGATTGGTATTGGACATATGGGCTAATATTGGACTTACGGACCTGATCTGGACTGGG